ATTTCAACGAGATTCTCGCGCTCGCCGAGAAGATCGACATTCTACGCCGACCGAGACCGGGGTCCTATTACGGACATTGTCCTCGGGGACCGACCGAGCACGCCACTGTACACGCCGTCGTAACGAATGCAGCTGCCGCACCGTTTAAGGGGCGCTGCTTTGCTTGCAACAGGCCGGGCCATCGCAAGAGCGAATGCCCAGAGGAGCTGAGGCGCCGAGGAGCAGAGCAGGGGAGGGAGTCTCAGAGGCAGGGAAACGCCAGCAGTCAGTAGAAGTTGGGCCAACTACTGACGAGACTGCCTGCTCGCCCAACCACACCGACCCTCACCGAGTCACAGTACCGATTCATGCCATCGATCGGGCTCGGATGAATAAGGAGGGTACAGCGACGGATTGCCCGGTACTAATCTACGGGAAAATACAGGGAGCAGCAGTGAAGATTTTTATTGACGGAGGAGCAAGTCACAGCTTAGTTAATACCGCAACCGCACGGAAATTACAGTTAACACTTAACCGATGCTTACCTGAGATAGATGCACGCTTAGTCGACGGCACGCCACTGGCTATACGGGAAAAGGTGGAGAGAGTAAAAGTCCGCTGCGGAGGGAACTTCGGGTTTACACAGGAAATGCTAGCAACGACACTGGATGGGCACGACATTTTATTGGGACGTGATTGGCTGCGACGGTATAACCCACGAATTGACTGGACGACGGGTAGCTGCACAGTGCGAAGTAGTGGTAACTGGGTCGTCCTACCTCGCTGGCTGCCACCCGAGTCTTCGACGGTCCAGGTCAACGCCATCACGATGAAACGGGCTGTCGCTGCTGGAGCTGACGTGTACGCAGTGGATATCGCATTAGTGGAAAAAGAGGAGCAGCCGAGTGATTTGCAGAAACTGTTGGCAGCCGTACCACCCGAACTACAGGCACTACTGAAACGGTTCCCGGGTATCTTTCCGGATGACTTACCGCAAGGGCTGCCACCTCAGTGGGCACATGACCATAGGATCGAGTTAGAACCGGGGGCACAGCCAACTGTACAGCGGCAATTTCGACTGACACAGCCCGAGCTCGACGAGCTAAGGAAGCAGTTAGATTACCTGTTAGAGAAGCAGTTTATCCGACCGAGCTCGTCACCGTTCGCCGCACCGATACTGTTCACACCGAAAAAAGACGGAGGGTTTCGCATGTGCATCGACTACCGAGCGCTTAACAGGGTAACAGTAAAATCACGATACCCCATCCCCCGCGCCGACGAACTGATCGACCAGCTGCGAACCGCACGAGTATTTTCGAAAATAGACTTACGGGGAGGTTACCATCAAATTCGGGTCGAACCATCGGACTGCGCCAAGACAGCATTTAGGACTAGGTACGGGTCATTCGAGTACACGGTGATGCCTTTCGGGCTGACCAACGCGCCTGCAACATTTCAGATGACCATGAACGAGGCGTTTAGGCCACTTTTAGATAAATGCGTCATAGTTTACCTCGACGACATCCTCGTTTACAGTCGGGACCAGCAGCAGCACTTAGTAGATCTCGAAGCAGTTTTTAAAATTTTAGAGGCACATCGGTTACTCACCAAGGGCTCCAAGTGCTAGTTTTTTCGGGACAGGCTAGAGTTTTTAGGTCACGTCATTTCGGAGGCTGGGGTTGAGATAGACCCTAAGAAGCTGGATACCGTAAAAGCGTGGCATCCCTCGACGAACATCACGGAACTGCACAGTTTTTTAGGGTTTGTTAATTACGTTCGTCGGTTCGTCCCCGACATGGCACGCTTAACAGCCCCGCTCACTGATTTACTGCGTAAGGGGGTCCCTTTTACGTGGGGGGAGAAAGAGCATGCTGCCTTCTCTGCCCTGAAAAATGTTCTCTGTTCACCACCCGTCCTACGCATCGCTGACCCACACCGCCCCTTCGAAGTTGTTACAGACGCGAGTGACATCGCCATCGGAGCCGTACTGTTACAGGACTTCGGCAACGGCCTCCAACCCATCGCCTACGAATCACGCAAGCTACATCCACCTGAGCGAAATTACCCGATACACGACCGCGAAATGCTCGCGATCGTGCATGCATTGAAAGTGTGGCGCTGCTACTTGATCGGCGCAGACGTGACAGTACGGACAGACCATCGATCCCTACAGTACCTTCGCGCACAGCCCCACCTCAACCCACGACAGATTCGGTGGCTCGACTTCCTCGAGTCGAATTTCCAGTATACGGTCACATATAAAAAAGGAGCCTCGAATATCGCCGACGCACTGACCCACCCCACTGCCCAAATCCATGCGATACTACTCGCCCATACCAGCCCGTTACTGACAGGACTATTTACCCACGGATATCAAACAGACCCATTCTTCACAGGAGGAAATTCACAGCAATTCGCAGCAGCCAAGGGGGTCTATTACGTAAAAGCTGGATCCGACCGCATCTGGGTACCAGGGTACACGCTACTACGGGAACTACTATTACAGGAGGCACACGACGGAGTTACCTCGGGACATTTCGGAGTAGAAAAAACATGGCAGCAGCTGCAGCGGTACTATTACTGGCCGGAAATGTTGACCGACGTGCAACGACACGTGGCATCGTGTCCCACTTGCCAACTCATGAAGTCAACCAGGAAGCGGCCGGCGGGACAATTACAACCAATCCCACCTCCAGAGCGTGCTTGGCAGCAGGTGACGATGGACTTCGTCACGGGGTCACCGGCCGGGGCGAGTGGGAATGACGCGATCCTGGTCGTCGTCGATCGACTAACGAAAATGGCACATTTCGCAGCGTGCAGGAAATCAATCACAGCCGAGGAAACAGCCCGACTCTTCATCGCCACCGTCGTTCGACTGCACGGGATACCAGCGTCGATCATCAGCGACAGGGACACGAAGTTTACCAGTAATTTCTGGCGGAACCTGTGGCAGCAGTTCGGTACGCGACTTCAATTCAGTTCATCGTATCACCCCGAAACCGACGGACAGACAGAACGGACAAACCAGAATATGGAGCAGCTCATTCGAGCCACGTGTGATGATCCAAACACGTGGGAGCAGCAGCTGCCTCTCATCGAGTTCGCATACAACAACGCGCCATCTGCCACGACCCAACAGTCGCCATTCTACTTGAATTACGGACAGAACCCAACAGTACCCATGACACCAAACCCCGATAATCCCGTTCCACGCGCACAACAGTTCGCCGAGATTTTGCAAGCAGCACGGACCAGGGCAGCAGAAGCAATAAAAAAATCAAATATCATCGCTAAACGCAACGCCGATCGCCACCGCAGACCCGTCACTTATCAGCCCGACGACCTCGTTTTACTCGACACTCAGAACCTCCGCCTGCCCATCACTCCCAAACTCCGCCCTCGATACTGTGGGCCATTTAGAATCAGTCACATGATCACACCTGTCACCGCGCACCTCCTCCTTCCTGCTGACTGGTACGTCAGCCCCTCGTTCCACGACAGCCTGCTTCGCCCTTACGTACCATCCACCAGCCAACTCCCACGACATCGACCATCCAGCATGTCACGACCACCAACCGAACCAGTCATCACCCCCGACAAAATCTTGAGCCACAGAGTTCGCGACCCTCGAGGAGCCCGAAAAGTTGAGTTTCTGATCCGCTGGAAAGATCGTACACCCACCGAGGACAACTGGGTTCCCCTGGACAGAATTGAAAACCACCCTGTCGTCACCGACTATTTGCGCAGCCGAAACTTCAAAGACGTCCACGCGCTTTCGTAAGGAGGACCTTTTAGGAGGGGGGGATAGTGTAAGGAAATTCCCTTTTCCTTACTTCGCATCCCTGCTCAACGCGTACATCACTGTAGCACCTCAGTCAGCACCGTTACCACTCGCGACCATCGCATCATTCATCATCCCGCCATTTTCGCACATCGCATCCCGACCTCACGGCTCGGCTGGTAACCCGCGCTCCGGGCCTACGCTTCGACGCTTTCCCAACCTCAGTCCCAGGCTCGTCGCGCGACCATTACCGTTACCACTGTAGTTTTCGCTATATATTCTTCGCTCATGCCTTCGCTCATTGGACTCTTGCTTCGATAGTGCAATTCTCGTTCGTTCACTCAATTGCACTCGTAACATCTACAATAAAATACTCCCTGATTCATTATTTTACCTGGAGTAGCAATTGGTTAGGAATCGTATCCTGTCCTTCCAAAATGCACTATTGTGAACCTGGGGAGAGCTTGAAAGAGAGCCTGTCGAGCTAAACAAATTTCAATCCAAACCGAAAAGTTTGCACTGTTTCATTGAGAGTGCCATACCAGCACGAATATAAGGAGCTGCAGAAACAATAGATACTCATCAGATAATATCATAAGCCACGACAAAATTGCATGCACTCTGCTCAAATTCCTGGAGATGCTGCCTGTTAGTTTTGTCCATGTGTAAAGCATGGGCGGCTTTTGAAAGGTAAGGGCATGTTCCTACGGCTCCTTATCAGGCCAACCTCTTATCAAGCTCGCTACTTTTACCACTGAAAATTTCCTAAACCCGAAACCCTCGCTACTTTTACCAGGCAAGGCTGACAAGAGGTTTGCCTGATACGAGCGTAGGAACACACCCTAAGTAGCGATTCGAAGTGGTGAAGCAGACGTACTGTAAAGCAGCACAGAGCGCATGCTGGGATCTTCCTAAGGTACAGTTTATCAAGGCATCCTGGGAAGACATTAAGGCATGATTGCTACATCAGCAAACGTTGACCGTGCTTTTACAAATGCAAAATCTCACATTCTGTGTACCATGGCCGTTAAATGAAGGATACTGTACAAAATAACAAATGTTGCACAGTGCAACCCCTATCCCACCAGTCACCCAACAGCCACCTTCTCTAGTCCACAAATCCAATATTCTTGCACAAAAGATGAAAACACACTGCCTCCCTTCACCTGCTGCACACCATGCCATGCAGAATCCATGCCAATGCCCACCATGTCAGCAGACCCGCGTGACATGATGGTGCTCACTCGGCCTTCTGCCCGAAAATCATGATAAACTGCCCGTTGGTTTCCTGGCGATACTCCACAAACCCTGAAAGCTGCAGCAGCTCCCTCAGCTCTTCCCCCTCCCAAAGCTTCATGGTGGTGTCTGCACGCATTGACTGCACCGTGGAGGAAAGGGGGGAGGAGGGAAAGGATGTGTGTGGGTCACAGAGGTGGGAGGGAGGAAAGGGTCTGCCTTCCCTCCCACACCTTCGTGGTTGGGTTGGGTCCATGCCCAGTGAATGCATCATGGGCTGGAGGGAGGGGGGGAAATCACGTGAAAAAAGAAGAGTTTTGAGACGTCTCAAAACCCTTCGTGGTTGGGTTGGGTCCATGCCCAGTGAATGCATCATGGGCTGGAGGGAGGGGGGGAAATCACGTGAAAAAAGAAGAGTTTTGAGACGTCTCAAAACCCTTCGTGGTTGGGTTGGGTCCATGCCCAGTGAATGCATCATGGGCTGGAGGGAGGGGGGGAAATCACGTGAAAAAAGAAGAGTTTTGAGACGTCTCAAAACCCTTCGTGGTTGGGTTGGGTCCATGCCCAGTGAATGCATCATCGGCTGGAGGGAGGGGGGGAAATGAGAACCCATTTGGCTGGAGAGAGAGGGGGGGTGTAGGGATGAGTGGGGCCAGGGAATTGGGGAGAGGCGAATGCTCCTCACATGGTGTCACGGTCGTGTCCATGCCCAGTGAATGAATCACGTGCTGGGACGGAGGGAGGAGTGAAGGGGTTGAGATTAAAGAGCTGTATGCATGCAAGGGAGAGAGAAATGACTCATGGTCGGTCGTGTCAATGCGCAGTGAATGCATCAGCCACGCTCTGATTAATACACGGAGCATTTGAGAAAGCGAGAGAAAGAAAGAGAAGGAGAATAAGTGCAAGAAAGAGGGGCAAGGGAGGAGCTGAGGAGGGAGAAGGGCAGGGAGCCATGGGCAGATTTGCAAAAAAACTGGATGATCTTTTAGCCGAAGGGACCTTTGAGTCGACTCAAAAGTCACTGCAATGCCCCATTGTAGCAATGTCACTAACGAGTTGACTCAAGAGAAGGAGGGGGGCCATGTGGGCAACCTTGCGAAGGGACTGGAAGAGCTCGTTGCCGAAGGGAGCGGAGGGCCAGAGGATGGTGGATGCCACGAACTTGCCTCCTGGGCGCAGCACCCGGTTGATCTCCGCCATCTGTGGTGCGGTGTGGTGCGGTGTGGTGTGGTGTGGTGTGGACATTAGCGAAGGTTGGGGGGCGAAAGAGGAAGGGAGGATATTTGTGAGGCGCGTAAAGACAGAACTTGCCTCCTGGGCGCAGCACCCGGTTGATCTCCACCATCTGTGGTGTGGTGTGGACATTAGCGATGGATGGATGAGGGACGGAGGGGATGGGAGGAGGTGCTCTTTGTGGCATTGGAAGAACAAACTTGCTCCTGGCCGCAGCACCCGGTTGATCTCGTATCCGCCATCCGGTTGGGAATTAGCAATGGATGGGGGTCGGAGGGATGGGAGAAGAGGAGGGGAGACGAGACGGGGAGAAGAGGAAGGGAGAAGACGAGGGGCGAAGAAGGGTGGGGAGGAGAGGAGGGGAGACGAGGATGGGAGAAGGGGTGGGGAGGAAGGAGCTTTGAGTTGTTTCTGAGGAATAGGAAGGTGAGAAGGATAAAAGAAGGAGGGAAGAGGAAGTACGAATATGGGGTACGAATATAGGAGGGGAAGGTGCAGTGGACGGACGGTAATGGTGCAGAGCAAGGTAGGTAGGAGTGACGTGAGTTGGAGGAAGAGCGGACAGTGAAACAGCGGAGAAGAGCAGTGAGATAGGGAGAATGGGAGAAAGGGCCAGAGGAGTGGGATGCGGTGGAGAGAGAGGGTGTGAGGGAAAGGAGCACTGACAGCAAGAGAGGGCGAGGGCCAGCAGTGCATGGCAGCGCCGGCATGGATCGCATCGATGGACCCAGAGCAGAAGGGCAGGCGCGCCACATCTGCCTGCACTAGCATGATGCGCCTGATTGGTGTGATGTGGGGGGGTGGGTGGGGAGAGACACGGGGGTTGCGGATGGTGTGAGGATGATGGATGATGGCAGCCCCAGCGACTTTTGAGTCGACTCAAAAGTCACTGCGGATGGTGTGAGGATGATGGATGATGGCAGCCCCGGCGTGGATTGCATTGCATCGATGGACCCAGAGCAGAAGGGCAGGCGCGCCACATCCGCCTGCACTAGCATGATGCGCCTGAAGGGCGTGATGGGGGCGGATGTTGGTGTGTGGGGGAGGGGGAGGAGATACACACAAGGCACTGGAGATGGGGTGAGAATGCGGAGCATGGATGGAAAGCATGTTTGGACCCTCCGGACCCCTCGAGCTGCATTCCCTCGAGCTGCATTCCCTCGAGCTGCATTCCCTCGAGCTGCATTCCCTCGAGCTGCATTCCCTCGAGCTGCATTCCCTCGAGCTGCATTCCCTCGAGCTGCATTCCCTCGAGCTGCATTCCCTCGAGCTGCATTCCCTCGAGCTGCATTCCCTCGAGCTGCATTCCCTCGAGCTGCATTCCCTCGAGCTGCATTCCCTCGAGCTGCATTCCCTCGAGCTGCATTCCCTCGAGCTGCATTCCCTCGAGCTGCATTCCCTCGAGCTGCATTCCCTCGAGCTGCATTCCCTCGAGCTGCATTCCCTCGAGCTGCATTCCCTCGAGCTGCATTCCATCGAGCTGCATTCCCTCGAGCTGCATTCCCTCGAGCTGCATTCCCTCGAGCTGCATTCCCTCGAGCTGCATTCCCTCGAGCTGAATTCCCTCGAGCTGCATTCCCTCGAGCTGCATTCCCTCGAGCTGCATTCCCTCGAGCTGCATTCCCTCGAGCTGCATTCCCTCGAGCTGCATTCCCTCGAGCTGCATTCCATCGAGCTGCATTCCCTCGAGCTGCATTCCCTCGAGCTGCATTCCCTCGAGCTGCATTCCCTCGAGCTGCATTCCCTCGAGCTGAATTCCCTCGAGCTGCATTCCCTCGAGCTGCATTCCCTCGAGCTGCATTCCCTCGAGCTGCATTCCCTCGAGCTGCATTCCCTCGAGCTACATTCCCCGGACCCCTCGGAGCAGAAGGGCAGGCGAGCCACGTCCGCCCGTACTAGCATGATGCGCCTGATTGGTATGATGGGGGTTGGGGGGTTGGGATGGGAGCGGTGGGGAGGACACGGGGCATGGAGATTGCTGCGGTTACGGTACAGATGGTAGCCCCGGCGGGCGTGAAAGTTCACGTCCTCCTGCACCAGCATGGTGGAGACGTGAAGCAGACACGTGGTTGCTGCTGCTGCTCTGCTCTGCTCACACACACATCCCCCACTGCACCACACTCACTCACTCCTGAGCCTCTTGCAGGAGGATAAGAGCCTCCTGCAAGAGGCGCACACATCCTCCTGCAAGAGGCGCACACATCCTCCTGCAAGAGGCGCACACATCCTCCTGCAAGAGGCGCACACATCCTCCTGCAAGAGGCGCACACATCCTCTTGCAAGAGGCTCTTATCCTCATTGATGTACGCCGCTGTCTGCTCTGCTCCAGTCCGCAGAGGCTCCTGACAGGTCCGCTGTGATCACCGTGGAAACAAGCAGACACAGACACCAGACACACCACAAGCACCCAGACGAATCCACTGCAGTAACCACAGACACACCCCCAAAACACACCACACTCACTCACTCCTGAGCTTCCGTCAAGCTCTTATCCTCTTTGATGTACGCCGCTGTCTGCTCTGCTCCAGTCTGCAGAGGCTCCTGACAGGTCCGCTGTGATCACCATGGAAACAAGCAGACACAGACACCAGACACACCTCAAGCACCCAGACAAATCCACTGCAGTAACCACAGACACACCCCCCAAACACACCACACTCACTCACTCCTGAGCTTCCGTCAAGCTCTTATCCTCTTTGATGTACGCCGCAGTCTGCTCCAGCATGGCTCCTGACAGGTCTGCTGCGATCACACTGCAAACTCAGACACAGACACCACACTCACCCTGCCGGGTCTACTGCAACAAGCACAGAGCACACGCCAAAAACCGCACTCACTCTTCTGCCTCCGTGAGACTCTTATCCTCTTTGATTTCTGCTGCTGTCTGCTCCAGCATGGCTCCTGACAAGTCCGCTGGGGTCACCGTGGCCCAGCCACCAGCACGCAGGGTGCAGCAAGCACACAGCACACACAGAGAAAGCAAAGCAGAGGCTGGACTCACTCTTGTGCTTCCGTCAGGCTCTTATCCTCTTTAATGTACGCCGCAGTCTGCTCCAGCATGGCCCCTGACAGGTCTGCTGCGATCACTGTGGCCCAGCCGCCTGCAGCAGCGAAGCGGCGGGTGAAGAGCCCCGAGCCACAGCTGAGGTCCACCACGCGACCACCCTCGTGGCTGTCCAGCCACTGCTGTGCCATTCGGAACTGTGCAAGGGAGAGAGGGGGGAGAAAGGGCGTGGGGCAGGGGGAAGCAGAGGGAGGAGGTGGAGAGGCGGGTGAAGAGCCCCGAGCTGCAGCTGAGGTCCACCACGCGACCACCCTCGTGGCTGTCCAGCCACTGCTGTGCCATTCGGAACTGTGAGAGAGGGAAGGTGTGGGAGTGCGGGGGCAGGGGCAGGGGCGGGTGGAAGGAAGGGGAACGACGTGGAAAGGCGGGTGAAGAGGCCTGAACCACAGCTGAGGTGAGGTCCACCACCCGCCCGCCCTCGTGGCTGTCCAACCACTGCTGTGCCATGCGGAACTGGGGAGGAAAGGGGGAGTAGGGGGGAGAGAGGAAAGAGGGGAGAGAGGAAAGAGGGGAGGGAGGTGAGGATGCGTGGAGGAGGGAGTGAGAGCGGGGATGGGTGGGAGGAAGAGGGGGTGAAAGAGGGGATGGGAGGAAGAGGGGGTGAGAGAGGGGATAGGAGGAAGAGGGATTAAGTGAGCGGGAATGGACGGAGGAAGAGGAGGTTTCGCTGTGGCTATTCTCTTGGTATGTTAATCTTTAGCACTTCGGAGAGAGGAGAGAATAATGTCGCACCCTCTCCCAGTGGATCCGCCCTCCCGTCCTTCTCTTGCTCTGTGCCCTCTAATCCTTACTTCTCTCCCTGCTTCCCCGCTTCCTTGTGCACACCTCCTCCTCGTCTCTTATAGGTAATGATACTCTCTGGACCCCTGTCAAAAGAAGCCCTCGACGCGAGTGGCTAGTTTCCTTCCCTAGGCACAAATGGCCGCACTAGTTTGGCTTCTCCGACGTGGATCTAGCAGTTGCTCAGCTTGACGACAGATCACAACTGAATCACAAGCTTTCCCACAATTACGAGAAGACAAACAAAAGTGAATTGGTGTCCTTGCTGTGCTAGTTTTGGCTTCCTGTCACCCCTCGTGAATCTGTGCCTTGGGGTCTGCCAACTACCTCTCGCACCGCCCAACCCTTGGGCTCCTTTCCATGCATGCGACTCGGGCAAGCCTCGTCACCCCTGTCCCCTTTCCGCTTCACCGGTGGCCCTTGCCAGGTCAGCCGTCGTCCCGTCCTCATTTCGAGTGGCCCCGCCTCGATTCTTCTATCCCTGCCACAATTCTAATATCACCACAAAACCCCCCCCCTTACCCGTACACTCTACAGTACAATTTATAACAACAATACAACAATACTACTTCCCTTACGATTTACCCAACCATACTCACCTTAGGAGCTGTCTCATGAACTTTTGTGCACTCATTCGCAAGAGTCATGCGACAGCTGTCGCACCCTCTCCCAGTGGATCCGCCCTCCCGTCCTTCTCTTGCTCTGTGCCCTCTAATCCTTACTTCTCTCCCTGCTTCCCCGCTTCCTTGTGCACACCTCCTCCTCGTCTCTTATAGGTAATGATACTCTCTGGACCCCTGTCATGCCCCCTCACGACCTGTTCTGCGCCCCTGCCCACAGGTCGTGATGCTGTCGCCTTAGCAGTATTGGAGATATGGTCCTTCACCCTCTTCCCCTGAGAGTCTTCCAAAAGAACCACCCCTGATTCCCGTAGCTCTCGCACTTTCCACTTCGTTTTGCTCAGCCCGCACTCCAGTGTGTCCTTCCGCCGCTCTCTCAGGTACACCTCATCCCCTACTTGCACCCCTCTGTCCTTTCTCACGACTTCCTTCCCCCCTTGTCTCCTCTGACTGTACCGGCGAGCATCTCTCATCTGTACTACCTCCAGGTTCTCCAGTGCAGCCGGCATGATCGACCGGAGATACTTCGCCCTGGCCGCTGCGACAGCCGCCCAGGTGTTGGGGTCTTCGTCTCCTACCGCCTCTCTTAAGACCTTAGGAGCTCCCACGGGTAGCAGGGGCTCCTTTCCGAACAGCAGCTGGTAAGGAGAGTAGCTTTTCAACGCTTGCTGTTTGCTGAAACGGTACCCTGCTGCCACCCACGGTAATTTCACGTCCCAATCCCGCCTCTCTTCTTCCTCACAATACTTCCTCAGGCCTTTCTTCAACGTCTGAATCATTCTCTCTGTCAGCCCGTCCGCTTGTGGATGATACCGTGAGGTCCTTCTGTGCACTATACCTACTTCCTTCAGTAATGCCTCAAACTCTCCCGCGAACTCTGTCCCTTGATCAGTCAATACTTCTCCACACGCCCCAAACCTGCATAGCACCTGCTGCACGAAAGCCTCTGCCACCGATGCGGCTGTCTTACGCGACAGAGCCGCCACTTCAATCCATTTGCTAGTGTGCTCTATCATCACCAGGATAAACTGCTTTCCTCTCCTGGACAAGGGCAGCTCCCCCGCCAAGTCCAACGACCATCGGTAGCCGATGCTCCCAATAGGCAGCGACTGTAGTTCTGCCTTACTCCTTTCCAGCACCGCCCGATTCCTACTGCAGGGCTCGCATTCTGCTACCTCCCTTTTTACCTGCCCTCTCATTCCTGGCCACCAATACATGGTTTGCAGCAGCTGGGTGGTCCTCTCCACGGCGTAGTGCCCGAACTTCGTATGGATCTGCAGTATCAAATCTCTCCTCTCTCCAGGTCTGGGTACGATTCTCCATCCATCCTCCGTTACCAACTGCAGCTGGTCATCCTGCCACCTGTAGTGCACGCCCCTAGCTCTCACCCTTTCCGGCACTTCCAGCCCCTCTGGTCCCACTCCTTGCACCCAGTCTAGTACTGGTTTATCCTCCCAAATCTCTGCGCACCCCTTCTCAGCATCCCTTCTCCTCCTCCACCCCTCTTTCTCCGCGGCTACTGCCGAGTATACCAGTGCTGCCTCGGGGGTCACTCCTTCCTTACTCGGTACCGCTGGCCCCTGCCTCGACAGGCCGTCGACATGCTGGAGCGTCTTCCCTGGGCGGTGTCTGACTTCGAAATCGAATTCTTGCAACCGCATTGCCCATCTTGCATTCCTTCCCCTCAGCGTTTGATTATTCATCAGCCACAAGAGGGGCTGGTGATCTGTGATGAGGGTGAACTTTCTCCCTTGGAGGTAGGGTCTAAACAACTCCACTGCCCACACAGCTGCCAGCCCCTCTCCTTCGTAGGAGCTGTAGTTGCTTTCTGCTGGGCTGCAGGAACGACTGGCGTATGCCACCACCCGCTCCACTCCCTCTTCCAATTGGCACAGCACCGCTCCCAACCCCCCGCTACTCCAGTCAGTGTATAGCAGGAAGGGTTCATCTTGTCTTGGCAGCCGCAGTACAGGGGCGGTTTTTACTGCCTCCTTCAGCACCCTCCAGGCAGCTTCTTGCTCCTCCTTCCACTCCCAGGCGACATCCTCCCTCAGCAGCAAATTCAGTGGTTTCGCCGTCCTGCTGAAGTTTGGGATGAATTTCCTGTAGTAGTTTAAGAACCCTAGCTGCGCTCTCAGCATGCTTCGGTCGGTCGGCTGCTGGAGGCGGTCCACTACTTCCACCTTGGCTTGCTGGACCGTCATTCCGCCCTCTCCCACTTGGAACCCGAGATACCCTACCGTTCGTACCCCAAAGGTGCACTTGCCGGGATGGCAGGTCAGCCCAGCCGCCTCTATGGCCTTCAGTGTTTTGGCCACATCCTCCACATGCTGCTCCCCATCAGGGCTGTAGATGATCACATCATCTATGTAGCAGAGGGCGCACGGCAATTCCTGAAGCACCTGATCCATGACCCTCTGGAACCGGGCTGACGCATTCTTCAAACCGAAGGGCATGTAATTCCATTCATAAAGTTTGTCGGGACCATGAAAGGCCGTCTTGTGCTTATCTGCTTCTCGGATAGGTATCTGATTGAAGCCTTGTCTCAGGTCCAGCGTGGTATATACCCGTCCTTTCGACAATTCATCAAAGAGCTCTTCAACCACCGGCATGGGATAGCGGTCGCTCTTGGTCACCCTATTCAATCCCCTGTAATCACCGCACATCCGCCTTGATATCGTCTCTCCTGTTAGGTCCTTGCGAGCTGCCACCACGGTTGCTGCCGCGTACTCGGAGGTGGATTCCCGGATCAATCCCGCTTCTAACAGCTCTTTGCACTTCTCCTCCGCAATGTCTCGGTCTCCAGGACTCATCCGTCTCCGCCTCTGGTACACTGGCTCTTGGCTCTGCAGCTCTATGTCCATCACTGCCCGATTACACTTGCCCAACTCCTTCACAGAAAATGCAAATGCCCCTCTGGCTGCCCCCAACACTCTCCTCATCTTTTCCTTCTGTCCCTCGTTAAGACCGTCCCCCATTTGCCACTCCCCGGCTCTGTCCTGTGCTCCCTCCACCGGTGCCTCCTCCCTTCCTTCTACTTCTCCTTCAGTGTTCTCTTTGCTTCTCTCCGCCCTTGCTCCCTTTGCCATCAATACCATCCCTTGACGATTGAACTGGTCCTCTTCTCGCGCTCTCTCCTCCCTCTGATATACTGCCGATTGCCTCCATTGAGCCGCCACCTCCATCGCCATCTCCGGTTCCGTGTCCGTCATCTCTATGAAGTCCCTGTACCTCTGCAGCATGAGCAGCTGCGCTCTCAGCGTTTCATGCCTCTTTTCAGCGCGATACAGCAACCATCCCAAGGCATGCTGGTCAATAGCTCCTCCCAGCGCCTGCCGTCTCACTTCTTCTGACACCCCTTCCGCCGCCGTCGCGTTTCGCAGATAGCCCATGGCTCTCTCACGTTCCACTGCTAGTGGCTCCTCCCACTCCCCCGTCGCCAGCACCTGTACCATTCCCGGTCCCGGTTGATCCCCTTGCATGCTAAAGGCATAGCTCCCCGGTGTCGACACCAGAGTTGGCCAGGCCTGCCGTGGTGCCCCCACCTCGTTACACGGGTACTGCGTCCTTATGTCCGGGCTGACCACTGGGGCCACCCTCCTCCCCGGTTCCAGGATATCCTGCACCAGCAGGGGTAATGGCCGGCGCATGCGACCCAACTGGTCCCGCAGCACTGGTTCTGGGACCATGTTCTGCCAATACCGCCGGATCCGATGTGCCCGAGCACCCATCTGTGCTGCGTCCCATGCTACCCCATGGCCCAGCTCCCGTGTGACCGCCCGGTGCGCCTCCTTCACTAAGCTCCTTTCATCATCCGCCACGTCAAGATTCTCCACCACGTACGAGAACGGGCCTTGCCTTCGCTTTATTAGCTTCATCACCCGAATTAATTCTTGGAATAGAGCCGTCCTGGGGTCTTCTAGTCCTCTCCCTCTTCCTGCTCTGGACAGGCCTTGACACTCCCATCCCGCCACCAGCAGGTCCACTTGCCCCCAGCTTGCTACCACCTCCTCGGTCACCTCCGTCACATCGCTCATCCTTTCCGCCTCCAACCGGGCCTGCTCGACTACGTCTCTGGATAGCTTGTCTGGGAATCGCTCGTGCAGTATCATCGCGTGATGCATCGCCATCCTCCTGACCTCTGGGTTCTTCTCTACGTAGGTCCATCGCTCCACCACCATGCCCAGACGGACACAGGCGGCCAGCCCCGGGCCGACACCCCCGAACAATTCCACCAGCCGTACCGGCCGATTGAAAGTTTCAAAGTCATAGGCTGGTTCGGCCAGTCCTCTGGCCTCCCTCAGTTCCTCCACCCTCGCCCCAACCGCTTCCTCCATTCTTCGTCGACTGGCTGCCCTTTCCAGGTACACTCCCGCATCTTCCCATCGCTGCTCGGGCACCCGCTGGTGATGCGGCTCTCGATACTCCACCCTTCCTCGCAGAAAGCGCGCCGGTAGGACTGCTCCCTCCTCTCCAGCACGGGTCGCTTCTGAATCCCAATACAGTGGCTGGTAGGTGACCCTCTCCGCCCACGTATCCACCACTGCCCCCACCTTGTAGAGGAGCTCCATACCGAGCAAGAGGTCATAGTCTTCCGAGTCGGATACCAGACAGTGTACTCGGATTCTGGTCTCTTCGGCCCTTCCTGGCGCCAACACTACTTCTTGGGGTCGGATGGTTCTCGGTAGCCATGTTCCATCCCCTCCTTCCGCCGTTTGAATCCTTACTCCTTCCGGCGTCACATTCTCGGCCCGATGCAGTCCCAGCCTTTCGGCCAGTCGCCTTCCCACCAGCACTTGGGACGCCCCGGTATCAATGATTGTCGTGCTCGGGTATTTCCCTTCCACTGCTACCGTCCCCTCCAGCGCTTCCACCACGCAAGGACGAGCCGCCATCCTCTCAAACGGGTGCCTCCTGGGCCCCATTCGGGCCACCGCCCGCTGCACTGCTTCTTCCGCTGCTCCTGCCGCCTCCTCTACGGCCTCGTCTACTGTTGCCCGCGGTCCCCTCCTTACTGTCGCCGTGCCCCTTCGGCCGTCTGCGGCACCACTACGCAGGCCCAGGTCTTCCCTCTCCCTCCCCGGGTTTGCCGCCATGAAGATGGGCTCCGGTCCTTCTTCGTCGGACTCTTCCGCGTACCTTGCGACGTGGACTGGCTTTTCCTCTTCTGCCATCGTGTCCTCTTCCTCTGCCCGAAGCCTCCTCAGCTCCTCTTCCAGCTCCTCGATCCTTCCTCTCCTTCCCCCTCGACCCTTCTGCTCGCGTTGCTTAGTGTAGCAATTGTCAGCCTGATGCCCCTTTCTCTGGCAATAGGAGCAGGTTTGCAGCTTGGGGCAGTCCCTCTTGAAGTGCCCCGGCTCCCGGCACTTGTAGCAGACCGGCTCTTCTCCAGGAGAGTGGGCCGCGCTGCGAGGCTTCCGCGTCCGACTCCTAGAGGCTCGATCCCTTTCCTGGTCTTCCTCTTCCGCCTCCTCCCCAGCCAGTAGGGCCCCTCCCCAGCCGACTCCCCTGCGCTCTCTCTCCCTGGGCGGCTTCTCGGTCTTCCTCCCCAGGTCATAGAGGCTCAGGGACTGCTCATGTCGCCATGCGATTTCATACGCCTGTCGCAGCGTGGCGTTGGGACCCAGGTCGTATGTCCGATCCCTCACGGTCCGTGCTAGCTCTCCGGCCAGGCCGTCCAAAAATTTGGCTACTATAATACGCGGTTCGCTGTAGCCGATGTCCTCCGCCAGTTGATGCACTCGCCGATAATAGCCCAGGAGAGACTCTCGTGAACCTCGTCTCAACTGGTCGAACTCCCTCATCCTGGCCGGCGTTTGCGTGGGGAAGTGCGCCGCCAATTCTTGCAGGAAGCGCTCCGTCGGGTCCCGTAAGCGGATGGGCTTCCCTTCTTCGTCCCGTAGCAGTCGGCCCTCCTCGTCTTGCTCTTCCTCCTGCAGCAGCGGGTCCCTAATCTCCAGGTAAAACGCTTCCGCCTCCCCCGCCAGCGTGTTCCCCAAAGATCTGAAGAAGTGCCGTAAATCCAGGCCGTCCATCTCCCATCCGTATTTCTCGTTCCGCACGTGCATCGCGTAGGTCTTCACTCTCGGTCCCGACTCTTGATCTCCACTGAAGCAACTCGGAACCTCCACCTTAGGGAGGCTGGTGTATCGGTAGCGTGACCCCTCCTCCCACAGCGAGCGTCTTGAATTCCCGCTTCCGGATGGCGTCATCTGCCCTCCCCTTCCTCCTTCTGATCTGGCAGCTGGCGCAGCGATGCCCCTCCCCGCCACCGTCGCCTGTTCTTCTGACGGCTACAGCTCTCCCTGGGTTCTCTCGGCGCGCATCGCGAATCGTCCCGATCCGCGGGGGGTCATACCACCTCCGCGTCGTTCTTCCCGCCGGCCCTTGTCCTCGGCGTCATTCCGGGCAGTTACTCGCTCAGGATCGGATCTCTCCCCCGGGCTTCCTTCCACTTCGTTCCCCGCCGGAACTCCTTCCTTCTCCGGTGGTTCTCCCATTCCGGACAGCTTGGCACCACTACGTAGTGACATGCCCGCCATGACTTTTGTTTGTAAAGAAGCCCTCGACGCGAGTGGCTAGTTTCCTTCCCTAGGCACAAATGGCCGCACTAGTTTGGCTTCTCCGACGTGGATCTAGCAGTTGCTCAGCTTGACGACAGATCACAACTGAATCACAAGCTTTCCCACAATTACGAGAAGACAAACAAAAGTGAATTGGTGTCCTTGCTGTGCTAGTTTTGGCTTCCTGTCACCCCTCGTGAATCTGTGCCTTGGGGTCTGCCAACTACCTCTCGCACCGCCCAACCCTTGGGCTCCTTTCCATGCATGCGACTCGGGCAAGCCTCGTCACCCCTGTCCCCTTTCCGCTTCACCGGTGGCCCTTGCCAGGTCAGCCGTCGTCCCGTCCTCATTTCGAGTGGCCCCGCCTCGATTCTTCTATCCCTGCCACAATTCTAATATCACCACAAAACCCCCCCCCTTACCCGTACACTCTACAGTACAATTTATAACAACAATACAACAATACTACTTCCCTTACGATTTACCCAACCATACTCACCTTAGGAGCTGTCTCATGAACTTTTGTGCACTCATTCGCAAGAGTCATGCGACAATAACCGAATGCGCACTCCGTGCACACCGTGATCACCGTGCACTCCGTGCACACTGTGATCACGGTGGTAAGTAAGTACACTCCCACTCTACTTCTTCCCTACTCTTCCTTCCCCACTCCCCTTCTTCTCCTCCACACTCTTCCCCCCGGTGTTCCCCCCGCCCTTCCTCCGTCTGATACTTCCCTGACATTCTCCCGCGACTCACTACCCACGCACCTCCCCGTCAGGCCCTGGGAAACCGCTTCTGGTGAAGTTCTGCCGGTAACCTCTTTCGTACACGAACGAGAACACAGGACTCCTGGTGGTGGTGGTGAAGAGGAGGAGAAAGGAAAAAGGGTGAGGGTGAGGGGGAGGATGAGATGGCATTATGCCCTGGAAACACGGGAAGACAGGACCACAGGAAGCACTCAAAAGCAGCCAACAGAGAAGCATGCACACTCAGTCAAGTGAGCAGCAGTTGCAAGCAAGCACTTGGAAGCACGCAAAGAAGCAGTTGTGAACGCATGCTCTTGAACGCCTCGCATTGAAAGGGCATGTTTATACTTGCACATCCACACATCCAAACATCCACACATCCAAACATGCACACATGCACACATGCCCATACACCATAGGTAGGTGCATGAAAGATCTCAAAAGTGATACTTGCACGCACGCATCCACGCACGCACGCACTTGAAGGCCTCGGATCGGAAGGGCAGAGGCGGCTCCACGTATTCCGTGACGCCCGCGGTGAGCGTGAGATCCGCGTACCCCGCGCTGCTCGTCGCGTACACGCGCGCGCATGTGGCACACTGGAGGCGCATGCGCGATGCCGTGTTCCTGGGCGTTCGGAGAGAGAGATGCAAAGGGACAACATGGGATATGAGTTGGGGGTTTAGAATAGTGAGGGGATTCAGGTGAGAGGGGATTCAGGTGAGAGGGGATTCAGGTGAGAGGGGATTCAGGTAAGAGGGGATTCAGGTGAATGAGGAGACTACCAACACCGACGGTGAACGAGCCGATGTAGCGACAGCGTGCAACGGCGCCACTCACATGTTGAAGGTCCGAGCGGAGCGGGACCCGGAGATGGAGAGCGGTTGGAAGCACACCGGGCAGCCCAGCAACGGCCGCTGCTCGCCTGTCGCATCGTCCGTGCTCTCCGCTGCCGTCGTGGTGGCTGCCGATGCTCCCGCTGCTGCTGCTGCTGCTGCTACTTCTCCGCGTTTCTTCGCTGCCGGATTCCTGCTGCCGCTACTTCTGGCGCCTGTCGCAGCTCTGACGGGTACTAGCGCGCAGCGTCGTCTAGACGAGCGGCCAATGGCGGAGCTGCCGTTTGGTAACCGGAACGGGGGGACGACACGGGGGAGGAGAGACGCGGCGGATGCGGAGAGAAAGGTGGAGCGGAGCGAGAGGCTGCTGGCGGTGCTTGTAGAGGGGATTGCCATAGCTGGGCACGCCATGTGACAAGCTTGAACGGGATATGGAATGTACAAGCGAGCGGTCGGTGTACCGAACCGTTGAGAAAGAAAATGCTGGAAGAAGCGGCGCGGACTAGCTATTGAAGTCGTCGCGTCGCGCGCGAGTCTAAGAATCTGTACTGAGAAGGAAAATTATTCCGAGCAGGTGATTCAGTTCAGAAGAGCAAGGTAGGATGCACGAAGTGGATGGATTATTGGAAAAACAAGTAGCCTTCGCCAGCGTTTCGCCACAGTTAAAATGGGACTAAACTGCCAGTCACACGGGTAACCCTTCTCAGCTTTTGTGTTTTGTGTGTTCCGCATCCGCACCTGAATTGGCGAGGACGAGGTGTTTGACGACGTAAACGAAGGAGCAGAATCTGTTACAAAAACTTATGACAGTCACCCAAGGTTCGGGAATCACGTGGCTAGCTCGAGAGAGCTCCGCGTGGATGCACAGCCAGACTTCTGGACGTATCCGTTAGAGGATGTACACGTAATTCGATTGTGCACAACCGCTCTTTGTTGATTTCCTAATAACTGAATTGTTAACAACAACCATATCAATGCGACCTTTTCCCATTCGTCCCTACAGAAGTTCCCATCACACATCCACTCCGACGGATGTCCATGGCTGCTGTAATCAATACCTTCTCAAAACGCGATTCGTAACCGCACGAGATTCTCCTATGTTCAAATACCTAAAGCAGGTGAGAGCGACTTCCGTCCCCCCCACCAACCTGCTTCTACTTCATTTTTCATCCCGTTGCGCGTTCTCGGTTTCTTACTCATCTACACTAGCCACGGGCTCGTCAGCAACTCGCAGAGAAGGCCCACGTGGCTCGACTTGTGTCCGACGGACTATGAGGACCAGGCCTTCGCAGCCCACCTGTCCTCTTTTGACAGCTCCGACGGACTATGAGGACCAGGCTTTTCATTCAAAACACTCGCTGTTTCAAGCGTAACCCATGCGTCGGTAGTCGTACTCGTCCCCTCCCTCCCCTCTCACGTTCTCGGACTGATTCGTCAACTCGTTTTCTGCTGTTCGCATGGCCAATTGCCGTGATTCCATCTCGCAGCTATGGCGGCAGGGCCAAGCGGCGGGCGCGGCCCTTGACAAGCGTCGGCTGCAGCAGCATGCTGACACGCACCGCCTGCTGCTGCTCGCATGGTGAGAGACAGATAGGAAACGGGGAAGGATGCATGCGTGCATCCATGCATCCATGTCTGCATTCAATGTGAGTGGAAAAACCGAACCGCATTCGCTTCAGCTGTCAACATCATCTATTTTCGCCAGTCAAGGCAAATCAATCATCCACCCGATATATGAAGTCAATGCAGGGGTTGCAATGCGCTTCTGGTGACATACACTCACCAACAATTTGAACTGAATGAATCACTTGCTCTTTCATACGTATCCTCCTAGTCATCCCGTTTTTCTCCTGTTCCGCATTGCTCGCACATTCACTCTCCTTTCCTGCCATCCCTATCGCCCGACCCATCCCTCCCATGCTCCCTCCCACTCTCCTAAAAAAATTCTCAGGCTGCGGGAGCAGGGAGGATCAGCGTCGGAAGCAGCAGCATCGAGGTTCGCCCAGGAGGTAGCGGCACTGCCACTGGAGGAGAGCAGACGTGAGCTTGCAGGGATGATGCGGGCCCAGATGCGACAAACGCTGCAGGCCATGCAGGTGCGCCCATGCATGCATGGGGTGCGTGTGTGTGAGTGTATGCCAAGCCTTTGTGTCCTCCGGGTGCTCCCTGCGCTTGCATCCATATACTCCCCTTTCCACTGCACTGTTGGTCACTTGTTTGTCCTGTATGCACCATCTGTTCTGAGCACGTCTGCCATGCGCCATGCGCCATGCGCCATGTGACATGTGCCAAGAGATGTTCCAACTTTTCCTTCGCATGCCACATCAACACAGCTGCAACACAGCTGGCAGCAGCCATTGCATGGCGCAGGTCACAGCAGCTTCACCCTCTCTGCTTTTCTCCCTTGTCGCCTCCCGTTCAGCGCCCTCCAGGCTGTCTTTGAGCCCGCCTCTGCGTGTGGCAGTGGCAGTGGTAGTGCCAGCGGGACGGGCCAGGAGTCAGGCCAGGAGCCGTTTGTCAGTGAGCTCAGCTTTGCACTGGGACAGACTCTCGAAGGCAGGAAACGGTAAGAAGCGGTAGGAACCTTCAGAAAACGGTAGGAAGCGGTGCGGTGGACAGGCACCATGAACATGCTTGGATGATCTCGCTACAGTGTGTAAGAGAGTCAGGCATTTCGCCAGTCAGGCTTCACTTGAATTTCCGACATTTCCTATCCACCTGCCCTGTCTATCCAATGTGGCCCTTTGCCTTGTCTATCCCTGCAGGCCCAGCAACACAGCTCATCCGTCACACCTCTCCCCTTCAGAAGCCTCTTCCGCCTTTTACCGTTCCACTGGTTTCTCCCTCTCCCTCCGCCCCTCCTCTGTTCCTCACCCCACCTCTGGCCTCGGTCTCTTCCTCCACGGCTCCGCCTCTCCTGGTACCATTGTTGCGCAATATCCTGGGGTGATTTACCCTCGGGTTATGCACCGGTACCTGCCAGGTTTCCCCCTCGTGGACAGCAATAACCCGTACCTGCTCGCACGGTTCGATGGGGTGATTGTAGATGCGAGGCCGTGGGGGGTTGGAGGGGCAGGCAGGGAAATGTGGAGCGGGATAGACGAGGAGAATCTTGCGTGGTTGAGGGAGAGGGAGCGGTGGGAGAGAGAGGAGGGTTTGCAGAGGATTGATGACCCGTGGTTAAAGGGAAGGGGAGCGAGGGATGAGGAGCGGGCATTGGCAGATGCAGTGAGTGGTTCCACCACAGGTCCCAGTGCAAGCAGTACAAGTAGCAGTGTTGTCGGCGATTGCGACGACGCCAGCAGCGGCAGCAACGGCAGCAGCGGCAGCAACAGCAGCAGCAGCAGCAGCACTAGCATGTTTTCATTCAATAGGGCACTGGAAGCGGCACTAGCCCGCGTGCTGGTGGGAGGCGACAGCTGGCGCAACAACGCGGCTCTTCTCACTGCAGCCATCGCTGCCACTCAAGTGGAGATCGAGAGGAGGAACCCTCTTGCTCTGGCTCACTTTGCAAACCACCCGGGAGGTTCCGGGCAATCGCCCAATGTGGCGATTTGCCCTCTGGACATTCCATTGGAGGATACAGAGTGGAACAATCTCCGGCCGTACATGCCTAATTCTGTGTTCCGCTTAATGGAAAAGAGATCGGAGGGAATGAGGAGAGGGCGGAGGTCTGCAGGCAGGAGGGGGTCAGAACGTGACTCTGTTGAGACGAGTATGGAAGTGGATGGTGATGATGAAGACGAGGAGATGAAAGGGGGGGTGCTGAGGACTGTGGTGCTGGTGGCGACAGATGTGATCAAGGATGAGGAGGAGGTGTTTCTTGACTATAGATTGAACCCCAATGCCAATCGCCCTGACTGGTATGTTCCAGTGGATGCCAAGGCAGAGGAGAGGCGCTGGTCATAGATTGCTGCAAATGGGGATTTGAGCAACGTGCTATGGTGGTATAAAAGATTTATGTGGCTATTCTTGCAAAACGTGATAGCATAGAAGCGACGCACATACACAATTGACGTGGGTTTCAATATACAAATCACTGCAGACCAGCAAGTACTAAGGGTGTGTAACTTTTTTTCACGCGACGGAACGAACCGTGGACCGTACGTCGATGCGAAGGGTTACCATTATCGTTTAATGTCGTGCAGTTCTTCGCGAGGATGTGTGCGACGTCGCTACAAGAACGAACCGTCATGACACTTTTTCCACTTTCCAACGACACGAAACTCTGACAACGGACGGTCCGAAACATAAACGGATTGTCCGCCTGTCCGCGCACGCGATTGGCGGGCGAATTTGGATTTCAGCGGACCGCCTCGCCAAAACATTGGAAAATGCGGCTCGGATTCAAAAGTTGACATTGACCAACCACAACTAGCCTCATTACAATACAACCAACCACAAAATGTATGTCCGAAGCGCTGAACTCCACAGGCGAAAATTGAGATGGATTGTGACTGGCGTTACTGGTGTACATTTGAGATGGCGAAAGGAAAACCATCGCGGAACCCTAGCATGTGGAAAAAGTGTCACATATGCATTCGTACCGTCCGAAGTTGCAAACATTCAAATCGGACAGTCCGGTTCGTTATAAACGTACTGTCCGATTCCATATAATCGGACGGTACGTCAAAATCACAAAATGTAAAAAAGTTACACGCTCTAACTGTACTACTGCTATATGTTGCTTTGCCTTTCGCCTTTAGTGTAGCCGTCCTTCTCCTGATCCAACTACCCGCATCGCCGTTGCGGCAACCCGAAATGAGTATGAAATCAAGAAGGGGTTTTGGGAAGTCCCAAGGGTTTTGGACGCAGCAACATTTCCAGGCCTCGAACATTCCGGCGGCGTGGGCTGGAGTATGGGCAAGCAATTAGGCGACGCGCTCAATCACATGCGCGCAGAGCTGGTAGCGGGCAGAATTACAAACCTTGTTCACCAGCGATATCCTTCTTGTACAAGAGACCCACACCCGCCACACACTCTGACCCGTGGTAATGGCCCTGCTTTCAAACATTTCGGGTCAGTTTTATTTCAAAAACATATAAAGAGATGATCAAATTCTTTCCATCATGCTGATGTCCCTCCCCTCACGCATCCCTGCCTACTCAGTCCCATGGTACTGCCATCCCATTTGATCCCCTCCTCCAGTTCGCTACTCTCCCCCACCCCCCAACCTCCTTCCCTCCTCTCCCTCCTCCCCCCTCCCCCCTCTCCTCGCCCGTCCCCCCAACCCTAAGTCCCATTTGACCGCTCCGCTTCTTCTCTTATGCTCTTTTGCCTCTGCTCGTCGCAGCTTGGCAGGCATTAGCACGCAACTGTCGCCGAGAGCCTCCTTACCCTGCCGCCTCGTTAATTCTTTAATTTCCCGTCCAGGCCTTGGTCACGGGCAGGGCGTTCGCAGGCGAATCCTTTCTCGCGAGGCCCCGCGCGATAGAGCGCGGCGAGCAGATCATCCCGGGGAGTGCAGCAAGGACATGCCTCCCGAATTACACCGCTTTTCCTCCATCGCTGGTTCCGTAACCGCCGCTCGTAAAGTTGTTGACGTGTCCGGGCCTGCGGTTGGCGGAGATATGACCCCCAATGCGGAGACTGACGAGTCGCGCAGGAAAAAGAAGCAGCGGCAGCAGGATCAGCAGCTGCTGCAGCAGCAAGGGGAGGAGAACCCGAGTGCTGTGAAGAAGCGAAAGGAGATCGACGAAGGCGGTAACGACATTGGTAGCGATGACGGCAATGATTGCAATTCGGATAAGCACCGTCGCAAGAAGAAGCAGCTCCAGACACCGCACATCAAAAGCCCTAATAGTGCCCCGCCCAAAGCCGCTAAGAGTGCACTCAAGTCCAAAAGCTCTGCGCTGAAGACAAAGAGCGTGCAGCAGCACCTTCCGTCGTCGACTAAACCCTTATCCGTCCGACCTATAGGTTCCCCTTCTGCCGCTCTCGATGATTCTCCTACAGCAGCCGAGGCGCAGTCAAATCCCGGGCTAGTCTCCGTTTCGCGATCGCTTTCCCCGTCCCCGTCCCCATCCGTACTCGTCGCGACACCGTCCGACATGCAAATCGTGTCGCAGTTACCCGCTAAATCACTCGGGCAAGCCACTGACGTGACTGCTCAGGGCCCATCCCCGCCGGCTCCCGGATCCGGCCACGTGGCCCCTCCACGTGGGCGCGCATCGTTGGAGGTGCACAAGTGTCAGGCGATTGATTGGCGGCCGTCGGCGGTAACGGCGCTAGCGGCTAGTTGCGACAGTGCGGTAGTGGCTGCGGCGAGGGAGAACGGGGATATCGAGATCTGGCGAGTCGCGGCTGGCGCCGTCGGATGGGCTTGCGAACTGGTGAGGGGGTTTCGCACAGAGCATTGGTTAACACGTAACAGATGGTTACTTAGATTAAAATCACAAGGTGACGGAATGGGGCCTTACAGATGGCGGGGGTTAAGGGTGGTGGGCTTGAACGGTGCGGGAGCAGGGATGTGTGAAGTGGAAGGCAAGCTTAGCAGAAGGAAGGGTTTAAGAGCGGTACAGGCGCGAGTGGCCGGGGTGTGCGCAGTTCTCGGACAGGAAGAGTTTAGCAGGGTTTTAGAGGGAAACGCAACTTAACGAGGGATTCGTAGTGGAGCGAGCGGGCTGAGCGAGGGTTGGGGGCGGGAGGTGTGTGTGCGTGTGTGTGTTAAGGGGGGAAGCTGGGGTTTTGCGTGTTGCAAGGTGAGCGATACGCGCCCGATTGGCACTAGGGTTCGTGCTGTCGAACACGCTTTAAGCGCGGCTTGTGTTTACCTTCTTTCCGCAGCGCTGCTTAACTCACTGCTCAATTCTCTCCTTTTACCCCTCTTGTAATTTCTTTCCTCCCCCACACCCGCTCCCCCGTCTCTCTCCTCCGTCCTTTTTCTGCTTTCCTCCCCTCTCCCCTTCCCTTCCCGCAGCGCATCCCCGGCCGTCGCGACGCCGCCATTTCGTCGCTCGTGTGGTGCTCCCCGCCTTCGTACCTGCCGTCGCCTGCGGCCGGCACGCTGCCGACGGGGCTGGCGGCGCGCGGGCGGCTGTTCTCCGCGAGTCTGGACGGCACGATCACGGAGTGGAACCTCGCCTCTCTCGCGCCGCAGGTGGGTGGGTCGGTCAGTCGTCTAACCGTCTTACGCGCTAGGCTCTAGGGGACTCTGCTGTACCGTGTTCCCTGACGTGCCGTCACGTGCTTGTATCGCTTTTGAGGCTTCTCAAAACTGATGTGCGCGGAGCTTTAGGAGATCGCTGTAACTGCCAGCTTAATCCCAACCGTCCGTTTGCCATTTCGCGGCGCCTTGCCATCATCGTTCCGCGCGCGCGCGCGCGCTCTTTCTCTCGCGACGTCTCCTTCGTGTACCGATCGGATCGGACCTTCAGTGCAAGCTACTGAAGGTAGGTAGAGAAAGCGGCGGTTGCAACGTGAGAAGGGAAAGATGGTAACACATGTAAAACACCGAGTAGTTATTGCCGGGGAACAATGCCCGATGCTGATCTTCCTTTCTTTCCTTCCTCCTCCCCCTTCCCTCTCTCTTCCCCTCCTCCTCTCTCTCTCTCTCTCTCGCTCGCTCTCTCTCTCTCTCTCTCTCTCTCTCTCTCTCTCTCTCTCTCTCTCTCTCTCTCTCTCTCTCTCTCTCTCTCTCTCTCTCTCGCTCGCTCTTTCACTCTATCACTTCCCCCCCCACCCCCGTTTCCCCGTCTCCCCTCTCCCCTCCCTCCCCTCTCTCCCCTCCCTCCCCTCCTTCCCTCCCTCCCTTCCTCCCTCTCTCCCCACACTGCTCAATGTGCTTCCGCCTCTCGCCACCACTGCCCTTGGTCTCCGCTCTCGCCACCTCTGCCCTTGGTCTCCCCTCTCGCTCAACTCCCTTCCCGTTTTGTGTTTTTCCCCCTCGTCCCCACCCCTCACACTCCCTTCCCGCGCGTACCCTCTCCCCGCGCGCTGCAATCCCCCGTCCCGCGGCTTCCGCGCGCCAGTCCCCGACGGACTCGATGGGCGGGCCCGTGTGGGCCATGGCGGTGGAGCCGGCGCGCGAGCGGGGAGGGGGTGGGGGATCGGAAGGCAAGGCGAAGGGGAAGGTGAAAAAAGCGGCGGACGAGGAGGAGGAGGATGAGGAGGAGGATGAGGGCGGAGAGGGCGCGGGGGGCAGTGCGGGAGAGGGGGAAGAGTACGTGGCGGTGGGGTGTGACGACGGCGCGCTGCGGCTGTTCGTGCCGTCCGACCGGGGCGCGGGAATGGAGTACCGCAAGTCGTTCCCGCGCGGACAGGGTGAGCGGGGCAAGGGCAGCCGGGCGCGGGGGGCGGGGGCAAGAGGGACAGTGGGAGGGGGGAGTGGGAGGGTAATGTGCGAGGGAGGGACAGGAGACGGGGGGTGTTGTGGTATGGATGGATGACTGGTGGGACCATGCACGTTGCAGGCTTGCAGTCACAAAGTGAGGGGTCCATCTACGGTTTAGTTCCACGTGCCGTGCCGTGCCGTGCGTGGTGGCCCGTCGTACGTTGCATTGCCCTCGATCGACTCATCACGCCCTTCCTTGTTCTCACACGCCGCTCTGTCTTTCACCCTCCATGTGCCCCGCTGCCCCGCTGCCCCTCTCCCCCCCTCCCCTCTCCCCCCTCCCCTCTCCCCGCTCTCCGCGTTGGCAGCCAAGATCCTGTGCGTGGCGTGGGCGTGCTCCGGTACTCGCCGCGTCTTCACTGGCGGCTCAGACAGGTGCGCGCGCCCTCCCTCCCTCCCTCCCTCCCTCCCTCCCGCCCTCCCTCCCTCCCTCCTTGCTCCGCGCCCTGATGCCCTTCCTGGTCCTTGCTTTGGTTCGTGCAGTCGTCTCTCGTTTCCGCAACCTGGACCCTGTAGCGTGAGTCTAGACACGTCTCTCAGCGCTCTCTTTTCACCCTACAGTCAAGCGAGCCCGCCCACCCCTTACACTGCCCGTCCCCACTCTCCCCCCACTGCCCTGTCCGTACCGCAGCATGGTGCGGTGCTGGGACGTGGCGGCGGGCAGAGAGCTGTACCGTATCCCCGTCGCCACGGGCATGGACAGCATCCGATGCCCCACTCCCTTCACTCCCCGCCCTCCCCTTTCTCACCTTCCTCCCTCCCTCCTTCCCTCCCTCCCCTGTCCTGTCCGTACCGCAGCATGGTGCGGTGCTGGGACGTGGCGGCGGGCAGGGAGCTGTACCGCATCCCCGTGGCCACGGGCATGGGCAGCATCCGATGCTCAGCATCCTATGCCCCATCTCACTCCCCTCTCTCCCCTCCCCTGTCCCCCTGCTCTCCCTCCGCAGCATGGTGCGGTGCTGGGACGTGGCGGCGAGCAGGGAGCTGTACCGTATCCCTGTGGCCACGGGCATGGACAGCATCCGCAACCTCTGCGTCTGGTCGCTGCTCGCTCTCAGGTGCGCTCCTGTTCTCCCCCCCCCCAATTCCCCCACCCTTTTTCCCTTCCCGCCCCCCACCCCACGTCCACCCCACTCCCCTCCCCGCCCCATCTTCCCCACCTCTCGCTGCCCCTGCCCAGGTGTTCCCCCCCCCACCTCTCTCGCCCCCCTCCCCCCTCGCTGCTCGCGTTACTTGCGCCCTTGCTGTCCGCTGCTTGCGCGCGTCTGCTGTGGGCTTCCGTAACGCACGCTGCTGTTGTTGTTGTTGTTCAGAACCTATCTCTCTTACCCTTCCTTTCCCACCCTTCCCCCTCTGCCGTGTCCCCCTCTCCTCCCCTCCTCGTACGTCTTTCCTTTACTAACTCCCCTCTCCCCCCCTCAGCGACGGCACGTTGGTAACAGGGGATTCGTCCGGGCACGTGCGCATGTGGGACGGCGCGCTGGGCACGTACCTGTCGTCCGTGCGCGCGCACAAGGCGGACGTGCTCGCGCTCGCCTCCTCGCTCCCTGCTCTCTACTCCGCGCTCGCTTGCTTTCTCTCAACCCGTTGCTCCACCTCCCGTTTGTCTCCCTCTTCCCCTCCCTCCCCCTTCCCCCTGCCTGCCCCGCCTCCTTCCCCCCTGTAACGCACCCCTCCCCCTCTCTTCCCCCACCAGCGACGGCACGTTGGTGACAGGGGACTCGTCCGGGCACGTGCGCATGTGGGACGGCACGCTGGGCACGTACCTGTCGTCCGTGCGCGCGCACAAGGCGGACGTGCTCGCGCTCGCCGCCATGCCCAACGACTCCAACCACGTCTTCTCCGCCGGCGCGGACGGCATGGTGAGTAAAGAGAGAAAGAGGGCGGGGGGGGGGGGGGATTTGGGGGAAAGGGGGAGAGGGGAGCTTGGGGGGAGAGAGAATGGTTGATTTTGAGAATTCTCAAAACCTACCTCAAACAAAAGAGAGAATGGTGCTCGCGCTCGCCGCCATGCCCAACGACTCCAACCACGTCTTCTCCGCGGGCGCTGATTGCATGGTGAGAAAAGAGAGAAAGAGGGCGGGGATTGGAGGAAGGGGTCCGCGGGCGCCGACTGCATGGTGTGGGGAGAGGAATGGGTGGGGGGATGGGGTGGGTAGGGTGTGTGTGTGTGTGGGTGTGTGGGTGGGTGGGTGGGTGGGTGGGTGGGGTGCGTTGGAGCGAGGGAAGTGAAGGTGCATACGTTAACAGTCTCGCATACGTTAGAAGCGTGTCAACAGTCTTGCGTTTCACTCGCCAAACACGTCTCATCTCATCCTCCCAACCTCCCTCCCTTCCCCGTTCCTCCTCCCCCCCCCCCCCCTTCTCCCCCTCCCCTTTCTTCCGCCCCTTCCCCCAACAGGTGGCGCAATACCGCTTTGTGGCCAACTCCGCGGCGGGGCTAGAGGCGTGCAGCAAGAGGGGCGCGGGGGGGAGCGCGGGGAAAGGTATCCCCGCGCAGGGGGGGGCGAGCGCGGACGGCAAGTGGATGCTGCTTGGCGCCCACCGGTCGCATACAGCGGATGTCAGGGCGTTGGCAGTGGCGCTGGTGCCTGAGGAGGGGGAGGAGGAGGGGGTGGAGGGGGAGGAAGCGGAGGAAGGGGCGGAGGGTGTGAGGAGAGGGGGAGAGGGCGAGGAGGAAGAGCACGTGGTTCACTGGCGGGAGGTGTTGGGTGAGTTGTTTGTGTGTTTTTTTTTTTTTTTTTTGGTTCTCCTCAACTAAGGAAAAAGAGCGAACGAATGAATATAATTGATGGGGATTTTGGGAAACGGGGGTATGAGGATCGTGTCCCTGGGAAGGGGAGAAAGCTGGGGGTTTAGGGTTTAACAGGAGGTCTACGAAGGGGTTTAAGAAGGGCTAGTGGTTCTTATGTTTCTGGTTCCCTGGTTACCCCTCAAGCGGGGGAATGCCAGCATAGCAGCGCCTCAAAGGTACTTCCCTTTCCCCCCACCTCTGCCTCCCGCGGTGACTTTTGAGTCGACTCAAAAGTCACCTGGTTCCCTGGTTACCCCTCAAGCGAGGAATGCCTTCATTGCAGCGCCTCAAAGGTACTTCCCTTCCCCCCCACCTCTGCCTCCCGCGGTGACTTTTGAGTCAACTCAAAAGTCACCTGGTTCCCTGGTTACCCCTCAAGCGAGGAATGCCTTCATTGCAGCGCCTCAAAGGTACTTCCCTTCCCCCCCACCTCTGCCTCCCGCGGTGACTTTTGAGTCGACTCAAAAGTCACCTGGTTCCCTGGTTACCCCTCAAGCGAGGAATGCCTTCATTGCAGCGCCTCAAAGGTACTTCCCTTCCCCCCCACCTCTGCCTCCCGCGGTGACTTTTGAGTCATCTCAAAAGTCACCTGGTTCCCTGGTTACCCCTCAAGCGAGGAATGCCTTCATTGCAGCGCCTCAAAGGTACTTCCCTTCCCCCCCACCTCTGCCTTCCGCGGTGACTTTTGAGTCGACTCAAAAGTCACCTGGTTCCCTGGTTACCCCTCAAGCGAGGAATGCCTTCATTGCAGCGCCTCAAAGGTACTTCCCTTTCCCCCCACCTCTGCCTCCCGCGGTGACTTTTGAGTCGACTCAAAAGTCACCTGGTTCCCTGGTTACCCCTCAAGCGAGGAATGCCTTCATTGCAGCGCCTCAAAGGTACTTCCCTTCCCCCCCACCTCTGCCTTCCCCCCCACCTCTGCCTTCCCCCCCACCTCTGCCTTCCCCCCCACCTCTGCCTTCCCCCACCCCTTTCCTGCTCCCCGTGTGTCTCCCCGTGTGTGTCCTTTTAGAATCCAAGCTTAAGCTAGAGATGACAGCAGAGCAGCGCCAGCAGCTAGAAACTGATGTTGCAGGGGTTTTTTTTTTTTAGAATTGTAACTTAATCCATGTTTCCCCTTCTCTCGTCTCTTCATCTGTCCTCTCAGAATCCAAACTCAAGCCAGAGATGACAGCAGAGCAGCGCCAGCAGCTAGAAGCCAAGGTCAAGGCGGCGTGGCGGCGGCGCAAGGAGCAGCGGCGGCAGCGTAGGAAGCAGCGGGAGCAGGAGCGGGAGCAGCGGCTGGGGCTGCGGCCGCAGGCAGCCATGGTGGTGTCTGGGGGCAATGACGCCCGGCTGGTGACTTACCCGTCACAGTATTTCCTCAAGTATAGCCCGCATACGGTCTGCCCCACGCCGCAGGCGCCGCCTATGCAGATGGCTCGATGTGCGCTAGGAGGGAGGCTGCTGCTGGTGCAGCAGGCGATGAGCTTGGATGTGTGGTGGGTGGATGAGGAGGAGGGGGAGGGAGAAGGAGGGGGAGAGGGGGTGGAGGGAGGGGATGGTGGGAGGGAAGGGTTGGTGGGTGAGGGGGAAGGGGGGGCGAGAGATGGTGGGGAGGAGGAGCGGGAAGGAGGGGGCTCGGCTGTGAGACGGTTGGAGATGAATGGGGTGTCGGAAGGGGAGGAGGAAGAAGAGGAAGAAAAAGAGAAGCAAGAAGAGGAAGGAGAGGAGGAGGGTGGGAGAGGTGAGGGCGAGGTGGTGGAAGGGAACGACGGCGCACGAGAGAAGGAGGAGGATGAGCGGATAAACCCCTCTCAGCTGTTTGGGACGAAGAGGAAAGCGAAAAGAGACCGAGGCATGACCAAAGAATCGCAGCAGCAGCATGTGCAAGTGGCACAAGGTGGGGAGCGAGGGGAGCTGAGTGAAGAGCAGCGGCGCACCAAGCGCAAGGTGCACGCGCAGGAGCTGCAATCCAAGGCCAAGAAGGCTGCTCAGGAGGCCGAGGGCAGGCGCATGCTGGCTGAAATTCGGCGGCAGGAGGCGGCTGTGTATGGCGCCATGGGCCGAACGGGGTTCCAGGCGCAGGGGCAGCTGCTGGGTAGCGTGTCTATTCCCGCTCCCAGTGCGTCCGCTTTTGCCGTCACTCAACCTCCTGCTCCCCTTCCCCCTCCGCCTCCGCGCGCGCGCGCCTCCCCGCGGCTGGTGGCGCAGCTGCGGACGAGCGGGCCCGGGCACGTCGTCTGCAGCGCCATCTCCCCGGACGGCCGCCAGCTGGCGCTCTCTGATTTGTCGAAGCTCCGCGTGTACAACCTGCTGTGTGACGTGGCGGGTGGAACAGGAGGAGGAGGAGGAGGAGGGGGAAGAGGAGGAAAGGGAGCAGGAGCAGTTGGAGTTGCTGGTGGTGGTAGTGGTGGCGGAGCAGCAGCAGCAGCAGCAGCAGCAGCAGCAGCGGCAGCAGCAGTGGGATCGGCGGTGTGGAGGATAGAGAGGGCAAAGGGCCCATCCCTGGGCCCGGCTGTGTGCGTGGCGTTTGCTGCTGATGGCAGGTCGCTGCTTGCCGCTGCTCCCACGGGAGAGATCGTGGTAAGGAGAGGGAAGGTTGGAGTTGGAGGGGGGGTGGGTTATAGGAAAGGCAGATGACTGACGCTTGCCTCCCGTGCTTCCTCTTCTCCCCTCCCCGCTGCTGCTGCTGCCTTCCCTGCCTCTCCCTTCATCCCTCTGCCCCTCCCTGCCTACCCCCGCCCTTCCGTTTCGCCTCATGTCTGCAGGTTGTGGCGACAGGCACTGCAGCACCAGCAGCAGCAGCAGCAGCAGCAGCAGCAGCAGCAGGTGCAATGGTGTCTCCCGCACCTCGTGCAGCAGGAGCAGGCAGCAAGCGAAGCAAGTCACCAGCGGCGCAGAGAAGACCCCCGCCCTCACCATCGCCCTCCCCATCACGAGTGGTCGCATCAGCATCCGCTTCACCCTCCCCTCAAGCAACGACACCATCAGCAGCAGCAGCAGGGGCAGGGACCAGAAACACCCCTGCCACGTTCACCATCCCTCCGTCCCCCGTTTCCCCGAAACCCGGCGTTTTCTCTCCGGCCAACGCTGCGGCTGCATCGGCAGGGCTGCTGCGGCTGGTGCATCGGTTCCCGCCGTTTGGCGAGCAGAGGGACGGGTGCTTGCCCCCGTCTGTGCGCGTGCTTGCCACCAGCCCCTGCGGCCGCTGGGCCGCTGCTGCTGATGCGTCCGGCAACGCTGCCGTGTTTGATGTCAAGAGGATGAGGTGCGTTGTTGGGTGGTGGGAGGGTGAGGTGTGATGCGTACACATGCATGCGTGTGGTCGCACGAGTTTTTTTTTTTTTTTTTTTTTTTTTTTTTTTTTTTTTTTCTTAGTGTTTCCAGTATGTGATGCGTACACTCCGTGCCTCAGTGGCCAAAACGAACGAACAAACGCCATGTTGAAAGCTTCCCACATGTCTTTCATCCCCGTCCACATCCTCATCCCCTTTTCCGGCTCGGCCCCTGTTCTTGTTCCCATCCCCACGTCGTCTATCTGTCCATCTCCCCCCTGTCTGTGCCCCTCTGTGTCCGCCCCGTGTGTGCCTGTCTGTCCGCAAGCAGGAAGGAGTGGGACGTGCCGCCGCTCTCCCACCCCGCGCTAGTCACAGCCATGGCGTTCCACCCCAGCTCTCGCCTGCTCATGCTCGCCACCAACACCAACTCCTTCCGTGTCTTCTTCCTCCCCCCTTCCTCCTCCCCCTCCTCCTCCCGCTCCCCCTCCTCCTCCTTAGTCCTCTCCAAGAGAGCTGCTAGGCGCAGGGATGCCAAGCTGCTGCTGCCTCCCTGGCTCCTGTCAGGGGCTGCTGCTACTGCTCCCGCTAGCTCCATAGCCCAGCAGCAGCAGGAGAAGGCTGGTGCTTCCAATGTTAGCGCCACTGCCGCCGCTGCGGCTAACGCTGCTGCAGCCGCCGCTGCTGCTGCTGCAGTGCCATTCACAGAGACACCGTGGAGTGTGGCGAACGAGGCAGTGCTGATGCAGACGCTCCAGCTGCTGCCAGATGGTATTTGCGGCATCTCCATGTCTGCTGACCCGCGCTCGCCCATCGTTATTCTGCACAGTTCCAGGTGTGTATGTGGGCTGGGCTGGACTGGGCTGGGCTGTGCTGTGCAGTGCATATGCTGATGCAGACGCTCCAGCTGCTGCTGGATGGCATCCGAGGCATCTCCATGTCTGCTGATCCGCGCTCGCCCATTGTCATTCTCCACAGCTCCAGGTGCGTGCGTGTGTGGGCGTGCCAGCCCTTGCTGTTTTGTAAGCACGGTGCAAAGCCTTTCTGCCTCCCCATACCGTCCTCTGTTTTCGTCCCCCGTCCTTATTCCCTCCTCTTCATCCTCTCCCCCTTCCTCTGCACTCCGTATCTGCTGTCTCCCCGCTCCTCCCTCTTCCTCCTTCCCCTCTCCTCGTCTCTCCCCCTACTGTCCCCCCTTCCTCCCTCCCCCCAGGAACCTCTGTGTCGTGGACCTATCCGCCTGGTACTCCCCTGAGCCTTGCGTCACCATTCTCCCTCCACGCCCCCCTATCCGCCCCCTCCTCCCTCCCCCCAGGAACCTCTGTGTCGTGGACCTATCGGCCTGGTACTCCCCCGAGCCTTGCCCTTTCCCAGCCCCGCGCCGCTCCCCTCCTGCGCCGCGCTTTGTGGAGCTAGAGCACCGCCTGCTCTTCCTCTCCCACGTGGGGCCCTCGCACCTGCTGGCTGTTGAGAGGCAGTGGCGCCACGTGCTCGCCACGCTGCCGCCGCCGCTGCACAGACACAAGTTCGGGCACGGTTGAGAGGGGTGAGGGTGTGACAGGGAATGAGGGGTTGGGGCGGGGGGGTGGGTGGTTGATGAGGGGTGAAGGGGGCGGGAAGATGAGGGGGGAAAAGGAGGCGATGGAGGAGGGAGGAGATGGGAAAGGGATGGGAAAGGCGGCCGGCTGATTGGGATGGGAGATCAAATAGGCGGCGGGTTGCAGAGATGCAGTGCGCAGGATGGGAGGGCAGGACTGTTGGGGTCTGCACAGGGTCAGGACTCAGGGATACTGGAGTAGGAGGGTAGGAGGGGAGAAGGGAAGAAGGCGAGAAGGGGAGCATGTGCCGATGCGATGCCATGCTGATTGCCCGCGCTCCTGGCTCCAGGCATGTGCTTCCAGGCTGGGCACGGGCATGCGTGGTCTGCTTGGGCTTCTGGCTGCACGAGGCTGGACGCTGGAGGCCTGGGAAGAATTGCCAGTACATGGGGGCGTGCGTTTTGCTTGCTTTTTTTCAAGCTTAGGGTGAAAGCTGCGTGTGGCGTGGTGTGGCGTGGCGTGGCTGTTCCCGAGGCGCGGCTCATGGCGCGATGTGGAGTGCGGTGGAGAGTCGATGTGGAGTGGAGTGCTGTGGAGAATGACGGGCGGCGCTTGATGCGCATCGGAAGGAAGTTGTGGGTGGAGGGTGGAGTGTTTGTAGTGAGGGACTTTAGATGGGCCGAGGTGCCGTGCATTTGGCATCGTTGGCATCTTGGCATGTGGATGGCACAGCCGTGTTTCGTTCCGGTTGGGTTGAGATGGGTTGGAGGCAATGCTTGTGGTGGTGGACATGCTGGGGTGTGTGATGGGATGAGCTAAGATGTGAGAAGATGCTTTGTATTGGGAACACTGGGTGGTGGTAGCAGGTGGCTGTTGTGTGTCATGTGTCATTCCTGTTCACTTTTATCAGCTGTGCTGTGTGCACGAGCTTGTTTTACAACTGCCTTGTAGCTTTACTGTCCATCAATTGGCCTGCTACATTCTTGGGAATTGAGTTATACGATTTCTTGGATGGTATCTTCTTGAGAGCCTTGGTTTGCTTGCAAAGATAGTGCAAATATTATAACGAGAACCGGTAATCACCAGGTTGATGCCAATCTGACTGAATGCTGAATCACAAATCATGTGATGAAGCACCACCATGCATTTCTGGAGTGCAGATTTAATTTGGTCTTGCGGCCTCAATGATAGTTAGGTAGTGGGCATGACATAGTGTATCTCAGTGCTAAATGCCAAATCTGCCTCCAAACTTTGCGCACCGCTTTCCGCCCTGCCGTTAGGTGTCATTTCCTTTCTGCCCACATTCCGAACCCCGCTTTCTGCCCTGCAACCTGCTCGCGCCTCCCCCAACAGTTCCCGCCTTCCGCCTTAGGCCTGCCCCCTGATCCTCTCCGCTCCGCTTCACAATTCCCCCCGTTACCCCACATCACCCACCATCACCTTCCCCCCACCCTCCCCCCACACCCCCGCCTCACATGCCACCATCACCCCCACCTGCCCAGCCGAACCTGGAGATTATCTAGGTTGCTACCTGCCAATAAAGTTAGTTCCACTAGATACTATCTAGGCCGCGCCTCGACCTTAGCAGCAAAGCAAGCCTCGATCTTTGCAGGGTGCACTTGGCTTGGTCGATCGATCGACTCGGAACCAGCAAGCCAACGGCCTCGCCGTGGTACCCGCACACGTAGCTTGCACCATTTTGTGCTGATTTTTCCTGAGCCTTTTCCGATGAGCCGCGATAGTGATTCGCGAAATTTTACAAGCGCGTTTCATCGCAGGTCGTCATAGTGATTTTCCGGGAGTAGCAGCTCCAGGCTCGATCTGGCTCGGAAACGGCCAGAAAAGCCGTGACTGGGAATCGTCGGCTCACGATTTGGTTGAGTAGCTTTGCGGCATCGGTGGGTCGAGGTGTAAGGACCTCCAGCCTGTCCCCTGGCTCTTGATTCATTGCTATAATCGCTGAGGTTGTTGCAATTGCAACGACGGGCCAGTCGCCTACTAAGCGCATCGGACAATAGAGGCCATTCACCTTCCTCTTCGGATTTCTACATCCGTTTTACGAGTCGGAACGGCCACACTGGCCGCCGAAGCGCAAGCTAATTCCTTCAATACATTTTCAGCGGAACGTGCGGTACTACCGACAGTTCCACTAGTTACAGGCCGTTGGATTAAGCGAGAAACGCATCCAAGACTCGCGTGAGTCAGCCACAGATTTGCCTGCAACACTGTTGCCACGGTGTCCCTGTCCGCTCCCTAACCCTAATTCTTTTCGCGTCGGTCGGAAAGGGAGATAGACATATAAAAGCATGCCGCTTCGAGTATCATCCCGGCGGCCCGCGGAAGCGCACACCCTGAAGAAAACCCCCCCTCAGCTCACCGCCGTCGGTTCGGGTTCCCCCTCCTCCCCGCAAGTACCCACCCCTTCCGCCGGTCTCTCCCCGCAAGTCGCCGTCCCCCGCTCCGCCTCCACCTCCGCTTCCATCCCCGCCACTCATTTCTACTCCGCCGGGCGGAGCTCTCCGCACTGCTACCCCAGCAGCGCCAGCGGCAGCGGCAATAACAGTACCAATAATACCTCAAGATCCGCCGCTAACAGCCCACAGCGGACGTTCTCCTCCGATGCTGCTGCGTACATCACGTCCCCGTCCCGCCGCCGAACCTCCTCGCCAGCCTCGGTAGCAAATTCTCCCGCCGGGCCCGCCTCGTGCAAGGGCCGGGCGAGCCGTCTGGAGTGGGCCGGGCCGAGCTCGTCAGGCTCGGCAACACCAGCAGCAGCAAGCGGCGGGGGTGGAGGAGTGCGAGCAGGATTGGGAGTTGCATCAGCGGCAATTAACTCGTTCAGTCCGCGCGTGGGCAGTGCCGTGAACGGTGCGGTGACCGGGAGTACCGCTGCTGACGGCAGCGGCGGGCGCAGCAGTTCGCACGGCACCAGCGCGCCTTCCGTAGCGAACGGCGCAGCGGACCCCTCTGCGCCAGGTGAAGGGAGCGCTGCTCTGTCAGACAATCCCGCCCCCTTTCCCTCGTCCGCTTCCGCCTCCGCTTCCCCTTCCCCTTCCCGTTCCGCCAAGCACTGGCCGCTCGCCACCCTTGGACTTTCCACGTCAGCTGATAACGTTGCTGTTGCGGCCTCTCCATCTGCTGCTTCCGCTGGTGGTGCTAGTTCTTTCAGTGCAAGCCATATTGGTACCAGCAGTCCGGTATCAGGTCGTCTCTCCTCCACATACCGCCCTTCCACGCACCCCCAATCCCCCATCCGCCCATCCGCTGCTTCCCCCTCCCCTCGCCCGTCCGCCGCTTCCCCCTCCCCGCGCCCTCCCCCGTACCGCCACGGCTGCAACTCCGCCGCTATCCGCTTCTACGTGCGCGCATTCCTGCACCTGCTCTGGTCGCTTGCCGCGGGTTGGGGCTTGGCGCTGGGGTCCATGGTCGCGTCCCCGCGGGGGAAAGGCGTAGGCGCGCACGTGCGTCCCGCAGGAAGGCGCGCACAGGCGTACCGCGGGGCAGGCGGATTCGGGGCGGGATGGGGCGCGGGTTTCGGGGGAGGGGGCCTTGGCGGAGGGTTTGGGGGGTTGTGGGGCGGGGGAGGAGGGGGGATAGGAGGAGGCGGAGCATTTGGGTCTCTACCCGTGATTCTAGGACTGGTGGTGACGTCGCTGCTACTCCTGAACCACGCAGCTCATATAAGGCAATCCGCGTTAGAAGCAGCCACGGAGGGCACGAGCCGGTCGCGGCTGCTCGCGGCGCAGCAGCAGCGCGCGGCGGCGGTAGCAGCGGCAGCCGCAGCGGCCGCAGCCGCGTCAGGAGGCAAGGGGCCAGCAGGCGGCCGAGGGTTGGCTTTCGAGGGGAGAATGGGCGCATCCACGAATCTAAACCCGTGTGTGGGCGCGGGTGGTGCGGATGGTGGGGGAACAGCATGGCGGCAAGGGGGAGGAGGCAGCGTGAGTGGGGCTGGCAGCAAGACGGGGGGTTATGGGCGGATGAGGAGGCTTGCTGACTGGTTTGGGTCGCTGGTAGGATCCCGGACAGATGCTGCTATGGAGGAGGAGGATGAGAGACGCATGGCTAGGGCGAGGATAGGCGACCGGGAAGCAGCAGGCAGCAGAGCGGGTGCACGAGCAGGGGCGAGCGCAGGAGCATGGGCAGGGGGAGCGGAAAGGGTAGAAGGGGCAGGAAACGGAGACTCTGAGAATTCCGACGATCCGTCCTCTTCTGCTTCCTCTGTGCCATGGTTCCCGCCAATCCCGTCCTATATGAGCACGCCGCCTATAGTCATCTTTGCAGCGCCAGAGCCTTTCTCCACGGAACCCAGGGACCCCCAGCTCATCGCCCTGCGCTCCTGGCTGCACCTGGCGCCAGCTGTCCGCGTTGTCCTATTAGGCTGCGACGACAGCCTGGTCCGGGCGGCAGTGCAGCTCAGTGCCGCCCTGCCGGGCGCGTACCGGCAGGGGGGGTTTGCGCCAGTGGCGGCGGATTTGGAGGTGGAGTGTAACCTGTTTGGCGTGCCGCTGCTAGGGTCGGTGTTGCATAGGATGGCGGTGAATCTGCAACGCATGCAGGACGCGGCTGCTGCTCACGCCATTGCTGCTGCCGCCGCCGCTGCTGGTGATTCTGCTGCTGCTGCTGGTGCTGATGAGAGTGTTGGAGAGGGAGGAGCGGATAGTGCTGCGGAGGTTGGTGACTGGAACTCCGACTCTTCCTCCTCCTCCTCCTCCGCGTCTGCTCATGTTCTCCTGCCCGAACCCCCCATAGCGCTCCTGGTCAAGGCAGACGCTATTCTCCTCTCTGACGTCGTCCCTTCTCTGATCAAACTCGCCTCCTCCTTCCCCACTCCACCCCTTCCCCCAGCCACCCCCTCCTCCTCTCCTTCCTCCTCTTCCTCCTCCACCTCCTCCTCCGGCTCCACCTCCTCCTCTTCTTCCACTGCCGCATCTGCCGCTGCTGCCACGTCAGACCGCCGCCCGCCGTCGTGGATGGCAGCAGGCGCCAGCTGGCAGGTGGGCGGCGCGGATGAGCTGGCTCTAGATCTGGTCATGGGCATGGCCGCAGCAGCAGCAGGCGGGGGAGGAGGCGGAGGCGGAGGGGCAGGGGGAGGGGCAGGGGGAGGGGGAGCGGGAGGGGGAAACGGAGTGGGGGAAGTGGATTTACCCGGGGTGATGGGGGAGGGGGTGGAGGACCAGAGGGTTCTGGAGCGAATGGCGGATGGCGGAGGGATGGAGGGGGAGGAGGAGGGGGGGGAGGGGGAGCAGCAGCAGCGTATCGGGACGGATGGCCAGGGGAAAGGCTCTGGGGGCGCGTCAGCGGGGGATTTGACCGAGGAGGAGAGGGCGTGGGTGCGTGTGCAGGGGAGGGTGCGGCAGCGGGTGAGAGGCGGGGGGGTGTTGCAGACGCGAGGGGCGAGTAGCTGGTGGGCGTGGGGGGGAGGCGCGGCTGCTCTGCGCTGGTTTGCGTCCTCTCCCCGCCCGGTTCCGCCTCTTGCGTTTGGGCACGGGACGCTGTTTGATGCTTGGATCACGGCGCGCATGGTGGCGGTTGGCAGGGGCGTTGCTGCAGCAGCAGTGGCGGCTGCAGCGCAACGGGCTGCCACAGCTACTGGTGGTGGTGGTGGTGGTGGTGATTCTAATGCCGGTGCTGCTGGTGGTGCTGGTGCTGCTGGGGTTGACGGGGCGGCGTTTGCAGAATTATCCCTCGCCGCATGCTTTGTAGACAATCCCAGCCCTGTTGGCTCGGTTGCCGGTGCTGCCAGCCTCCACCCGTCCCTCTCACTCAACCCGCACGTCCCCTCCAATGCTCACTCACGCTCCGCTCTCACACCATCCCTCTCCTTCTCTGCTACAGCTGCTGCTGCTGCCGCCTCAGCAGCAGCAGCAGCCGCGGCCTATGCCGCCTCGTGCCCGCCTCCCTTTGTCGACGCCAGCGACGTCGTCACGTGCTTCCACCTGGCGTCGCGGGATTGGGTGCGGCGGGTGCTGCCGAAAGGCCGGCCGTGGAGCACGGGGGCAGTGCAGGGGGGGAGGAAGAGGAGGACTTCACAAATGGGCCGTTGGGAGCCTGCAGCTAATGAGTTTCTACTAGCCACGGCTGGGTGTTTCGGGAATGGGACCTGCGCAGGGGATGGCATGGGGGGGTTGGTAGGCGCAGGGGCGCTGGTGGGTAGAGGGAAGGGGGCGAGGGGGAGAAGAGGGGGGGTGAGTGCGGGGGAAGAGGAGGCGGCAGGTGTGGCGATGTGGCTGGGGGGGGATGGGAGGGAGCTGGCAAGGAAGAATGGCACTGCGCATCATGGCACGTGGTCGCTCATGGCGTGTGCTGATACCAGTGGTGAGCTCATGGCATGTGCTGATACCAGTGGTATACAACGTTGCCCACATGGGAGTCTTCATACATAGGGAGGATGACGCATCTGCTCACCTCTGGCGTTCTCTGTTTCTGATTTCTTTCTCATACACGTACTCATCCGAAACACAATGCCCCCCCCTCCCTCGTCCCACCTCTCCTGCACTCCATCCCTCCTGTACTGTACTCCCCTCCCCACCTTCTGCCCGCTCCCTCCTTACCCTTCTCCCCTCTCCCGTCCCCCCTCTCCCTTACCCACTCTTCCCTTTCCACTCTTCCCATTCCCGTCCCCCCTCCACCTTCTCCTCTCCCGTCCTCTTTCTCCCTTCCCCCCTCGCCCCCATCCGCTCGCAGCCAATCACGTGTGTCTGAAGCCGCGCCTCCGTCCGGCCATCTGCGCGTGTGACCTCGCACCCTTCACACCCGCCTCCCAGGGCGACCCCACCCTCAACGCCCACAACCGCTGGATCTGCGATTCCCCCGACGACCCCTCCTCACCCACCTCGCCCTCCCACGCACCGCACCCCACCGCTCTCATCGACCCTGCTGCCGCCAAGGCAGCCACTGCAGCCCCGGCGAACGACCGTGCTGCTGCGTCCCTTCTCAAGCAAACCCCCGTAGTTCCCATGGAAGATGTGTTACCGCTCGTGGCCCTGCGGGAACCCGGCGGAGTGAAAGTCGTGGTGCTGGTTGCGGTGACCTTTGGCTACGCACACATGCTCATGAATTTCTACTGTAACCTCCGTCGCCTCGGCTTGGGGAACCGGCTCGTGGTCGCGGCCCTTGATGCTGATCTCTACCGGTTTGCTTTCTCCCAGGGCCTTCCGGTGTATTATGAAGGCCCGGCGGCGGCGGGAGGGGCTGGGGGCGGCAGCGCAGGGGGGGTGAAGGTGGGGGAGGAGGCGTGCGAGTATGGCACGCTGTGCTTTAAGAGGTTCACGAAGCTTAAGTCGCGAGCAGTGCTGCGTGCGCTGCGAGCCGGGTACTCAGTGTTATGGACCGATGTGGATATTGTCTGGTTCTCCGATCCTCTCCGGGACCTGCTCAGGTTCGGGCCTGGGACGCTGCCGATCCAGAGCAACGAGCCGGATGCGGCGCGGCCTCCGCACGGGAAGCGTAGGATTAATTCCGGGTTTTACTTTGGGAGGAGTGACGAGGCGACGATTGCTGCGTTTGAGGCGATCGTGGCAGCGGCAGCCAAGACGGAGCTTTCAGAGCAGCCGAGTTTCTATGATGTGCTGTGCGGGGAGAAAGGGCAGAAGAAGGTGCGGGGCAAGGCGCAGTGCTTGTGGAAAGGCATCAGTGTGACGAGTGCGGGTGGGAAACAGAAGACCACTCCGGTCGCCGTGCGAACCATCTTTCTCGACAGAAAGAAGTATCCGAACGGGGCTGTGCATGGGTTTTGGGACGCGGCGAACGTGAGCGAGGCGTGCCGAGAGGCGGGCTGCGTGATTCTGCACAACAACTGGATCAGTGGGAGGGGCAGCAAGGAGAGGAGGCTGGCACGGCATGGGTTCTGGCAGTATGATATTGATGGGCGGAAGTGTTTGGACCAACCGTTGAGTGAAGAGCAGCTAGTGACAGAAGAGGAGGCGAGAGCCGGGGGGAGTGGGTTTGACAGTGCTAAAGGGAAGAAAGGAAGTTGATGGCGGGAGAGCTGGGTTGCGCCAGGAAAGGGGCGTTTGTTTGCCGGATGATGTGCTAGTTTGGTTGAGGAAGGTCCTGCTTTAGTTTTATGTATTCATGTCAGTACATCGCCTATTGATTGAAAAAAGCACGCGAGTATCCTTTAGCTGGCCTTTTTTCGAGGAGTGCCCCCTTGCAAGATCATTTCCCATTAGAGAGTCCATAAACCAATTCTCTTTTGGCTCATATCAGAGCCGTCCCCCCTTCCCTTAGAACAACTGGAGCTCATTGTGGATGATCAGAAGGTAGGTGAGATGCGTGTTGATCGGTATCTGACCTGTTTGAACCGCATGACAACCACAGGAAAGCTACAATAGTTTGAGAGCACTTTCCATATGAATTTTAGAATGACTACATGTCTGTCAGCTATAATTAACATTGTGAAACATGATATGTGAAGCTGCTGCTGGCGCGAATGGCTGTGATTGGCCCTCAGGGTTCTGCTGTCGCTGTCAGTGGCCTCGCCTCGCCTTCGGCTCGCCTCACCGCGAGCGAGACTTCGCCCCGCATTCCCTCACCTCACAACAAGCCAGCGAGTAGGTGGATGGATGGAGTACAGTAGAAAGGACAAATCTACTTTGATTATTTTTCCTGCAACTTGAGCAGCCTGACTGGTCAAGATCAGTGCTTATGCACTAGCTCCGACTGGTCGTTGCGATCGGGAATGCGCCATGCCATCTCTGAGAGTAGCAGCAGCAGCATAGATCCGGTCCGGTAGAGCACCGAGGTTGCGGCAACAGCGCAGGTAGATTAGCGTGTCGTTTAGCTGACCGCGTTCCGCTCGCTTTCCAGGCGTGCGTTCCCGCGATCTCCGTCCGATGCACCTTAGCTGTAGCGGGGGGATCTCCCCGTTTTACGCGCTCCTCCTTTGCTGCCAAGTGGATGTGGTATAGATTGTGTGGTGGTTTGTGAGGACGCAAGGTTTCCCGGTCAACCCTTCTGAAATCCACGTCTCGTTCTTCATAATCTGTCTCCACCTGTCGCATTCGGGTGGGATTGTTCGGATTATATCTACGCCCAGGTCTCCACAAGTTTGGATTCCATAACAGCAACATAGTTTCAGCCGGTTCAGAGTTTCCGATATGGGCAAGTCCAAGGAACCACTTCTTCCCTTCACCTCCTCTACAATCTCTCGGGATTCATCGTCCACCTCCATACATGGCTCCTCCCCGCTCCCCACATCGTCCTCCTCCTCCTCCCTCTCCTCCAACCCCAACGTCGCAATCGCGCTTCTCCTCGTCTCCCGCCTCCGCGACGCGATGCGGCAAGCAGCAGCGCAACAGCGGTCATGGCTGGAGCTCGTCGATCGCTCCGCCTTCGCGCGCCCCGAGAGCCTCTCCGACGCCGCGAGTCGCATCCGCAAGAACAACCGTTACTTCCACGCGAATTACCTCGTCGTCCTCTTCCTCGCTATAATCATCTCCGTTTTGCACAACCCGTTCGCGATCCTCTGGCTTGCGATACTCGCCGCGGCTTGGGGCTACACCTTCCTGTTCCGCCCTGGACCAATCACCGTAGCCGGGCGGTCGTTCAGCGAGCGGGAGAAGCTAATAATCATGTGCCTGTTATCCGCGTTAATAGTCTTCGGCCTGAGCCCCCTCGGATCGGCGGTCATGTCGGGAACGGTGATAGGAGTGGCTGTAATCTGTATCCACGCGGCGTTCCGAGTCCCTGACGATCTTTTTTTAGATGACTCCGCGGATGGACTCGCTGGGCTGGGCCTGGGCGCAGGCAGCAACAGCGGGTGGTTTAACTTGCTGCTTGGAAGCAGCACAGGGGGGGTGGGAGGAGTGGGGGGAGTAGGGGCGGTGGGTGGGGTTGGGGTGGGAGTGGGAGTGGGAGTGGGAGTGGGAGGGGTGGGTGGTGTGGGGGTTGGAAGAGGGGGAGTTGGGCTCAAGGGGAGTGGTGCAGGAAGAGGAGGCAGCAGCGGCGCGAGCAAGGCCAGCAATAGTAGTGTGAGCAAGATGGACATCCCTAGACGACACTCAGCATCCACTCTTGAGTCTGTTGTCTAGTCCAGCTGCGTAGGGAGAAGAGGAGACACTGCAGCATAGTAGACTGGTATTGCTCACTCAACATCACCTAGCTGTTTGCCCATTTTTCTTTCTTCTTTCTTAGTGTGTTGTTTGGTTCAATCCATCGCCCCTTCCACCCATTCTGTTTCAAGGATTAGGGAGGAGATCGAAGTGGGCGATTAATTTCTTCCAGCAACTGATATGCAAGGCCTGAAGTCTCCGAATTGTCAGCATGACGAGTTGCCAGGCATGCACCTGTTAGGCATCATAACTTTTGAGTTGTGTAGCATTATAACTGGGGTAAGCTTTCACTAGACCAGGAGAGTAGCGATGGACTGATTTTAGCATAAATTTACAGGCACAAGACTTGTGTAGATTAAACAATTGTGGAAAGTCGTGATATTGCTCTTTGCAGGCCATTTTGAGAACAGAGTTTCGCAATGAGATTCTGTGATAAAAAAGACTGAACAATGGTGTGAATGACTGTTCTATCAAAAGGACGCTGCCACTACCGAGTTTCACCTTTTTCCCCCTGACCTTTTCCAATCATCCGCGAGAGACTTTTTCTCTCCCAATAGCCGGGAAAAAAGGGTATTTCCCTTTGCTGTGTTGTTCCACGGTGTACTCTTGCGGATTCGCGAATCGAGGTCACCACAATCCCAATTTGCGATAACAAATTGCGATTTCCAGCTACCGCTACAGTACGTCCCTTCTCTTTCCTTTCCATTCCACCCCTCGTTCGTCCCCCGCTTGTTTCTCTGTTTCCAACTTTCCAGGTCGCTGTTTCTCTCGTGTTCTTCCCTTATCCCATCTCCTATCCACCCGAAAAACCCAGGTTTCTCCCGCTCTCCCGTCCTGTTGCATAATGTTCGAAAACGAAGTTCAGGAGTTAGTTGAGGATTACAGAAATCGACTGGTGGGACAACACGCTGCCGATACGGCCTCCATGGATAAACGTAAGCGTCGGGAGGATGAGGGCGAAGATGCGGATGAGGATCGTCTTGTAGGCCCTGCAAAATTACAGTGCTGTGTAACAGGAGATTGTTGCCGAGGTGAACCAATTAACTCCGTCGCTAACCACGAGGAGGTAATATTTGCTACAAATATACTCGATAGCACCAGAGGGCAATCTGGTTGTAGCTGTAGGAACGACTCCCAATATGCGATAGCCAGCAGCAGCCGTGGTTACAACAGAGGAAGCTGCTCAGCGGGTTTGTTACCCGAGGAGGTGTGGCACTACGTGTTGCTGCTGCTTCCTCCCGCAGCCATCCTCTCGTTGGCTGCCACGTGTCGTCAGTTTCTTGAAATAGCTCTCGCGGACGGCGTGTGGGAATCTGTGAGCGAACGCGATTGGGGGAAGCAGGCTGCGCGCGGCGCTGCTTCCGCCGTCTTCCCCCTTCAACGGACCCCCTTCGTGTCTCCCCCGCCGCCTTTGTCGCCGTCGCCGTCGCCGCCGCCGCCGCCGCAGCAGGAGCAGCCTCAGCCGGACCCTCAGGAGCAGAAGGCGCAGCCGACACTGCAAGCGGTGCTGGCCGGCAGATGGTACTCCCTGTACCGGTCCGTCAGTGCACTTGACGGCCTGGCGTGGCGCGGCGTGGAAGAGAGGGGCGAGAAACGGCCGGTAGGAAGGGCGTCGCACGGCATGGCGCAAGTGGGATGGGGTTCGGTTGATGCAGGTAGTGCGGTACGCGGGATAGAGCCACCACCACCACCACCAGCATCAGCAGCAGCAACAGCAACAGCAGAAGCAACAGCAGCAGCGGCCGCGGCAGCGGCGGCGGCAGCAGCGGAAGCACCTGTTGTGATGTTCGGTGGGGGTTGCAGCGGAGGTCAACACCTCTCCGACACGTGGCTGCTCCACCCCCTCCTCCAGTCCCCCTTCCCTCTCCCTCCCCCCCTCCCTCCCCCTCTTCGTCACCCTCAGCCTCCCCGCACCTCCCTTCTCTCCCCATCCGATCCACCACCTCCCGCCTCGCGCCCTCCCCCCGTCCCGTTTTCCAGTCCTGGGGTGACGTGGCAGCCGCTGAGTGGCCCCGCGTGCCAGGCTGCGGAGGCGGTCGAAGCTGGGCGGGCGGGCGGTGGTGAGACAGCAAGCGCGCGGGGCTCCGCTGGGGGCGCAGAGCGGGCGCGAGGGGCACGAGCGGGGAGGCTCAAGACTAAGGAAGAGAGCGGACCAGGGGGAAGGTTTCAGCCCAGTATGACAGGGGTGGACGGAGGCATGGTGGTGATGTTTGGAGGGATCAACGACCTCGGCCAACGGCTCGATGACACGTGGCTCTTTGGCCCAAAGTTACGGGAGGCTGCCCATGTTGTCCCCCCTGGCTTCACTCCTGCTGCTCCCAGGGGTGCTGGTGCTGCTGCCGCTGCTGCTGCCACACCTGCTACTGGCAGTCACGGTGGTAGCAACCCTGCTGCTGCAGTTTCGGTGAAACAGCAGAATGACTGGCAGTGGCAGCAGCTGCATCCCGCGGTTTCCCCTCCGGCCAGGGGAGCGCACGCAGGGACGCACATGGGGGGCCAGCGAGTGGTGGTGTTCGGCGGTATAGACTCTGCTGGCCGTAGACTCTCCGATGCGTGGCTGCTAGACCTGGCGGAAGAGCCAATCACGTGGCGACAGCTGGAGATGGTGGGTGGAGAGGAGCGGGGAGACGGTGGGGCAGCAGAGGGTGAGGTAGGGAGGGTAGGGGGAGGTCGGGTGGAGGCTGCTGGGGGGGATATAGGAACAACTGGAGCAGAAGCGAGAGACGGTGGTGGTGATGGGTCGGCTGTTGCTGCTGGTGGTGATGCTGATGCTGGTGGTTGCAGAGGTGGCATGGGTGCTGAGGCTGCCAGTACCACCAGTGGCAGCGACACGAGCACCAGGAACAGGAACAGAAGCAGCAACAGCAGCAGCAGCAGCAGCAGCAGCGGGAGCAGGAACAGGAGCAGCAGAGGGAGGCACGAGTTGCCGTGTGCGCGATCAGGCCATTCCCTGACAGGGGTTTGTGATGGGACGGCGGTGCTGATAGGTGGCCGGGGGGCAGGCATGGAGGTGCTTAGTGACGTGTGGATCATGCAGTTACAAGGGGACACTGTTGCTAGGTGGACTCTTTTAGACAGCGAGGAAGACTATAAAGGGGACTCTTTTGGGGATGGCCGTGTGGGTGGGCTTGAAGGGACTGAAGGGATGGAAGGAACAGAAGGATTGAGAGGGGGAATGGAGGGGATGGAAGGGAAGGGTTTGGTAGGGCCTGGGCCGAGGGCCGGGCATTCTGCAACACGGTTGGTGGACGGACGGGTGGTGCTGTTTGGGGGCGAGGGGGAGAATAGGGACCGGCGGAATGACCTTTGGGTTTTGGATTTGCGGGGGAGAGTGCGGGCCCTGGGCTGGTGCGGTGGTAGGCGTGGTGGTGCGGTGTGTAGTGGTGTGTGTGGTGGTGTGCGTGGTGGTGTGTGTGGGGCTGTGAGTGGGAGGCAAGCAGTGGTGTTGGTAGAGGGGGAGGGGAGAAGGGTGAACGGCCGGTTGGTGGGTGCGGAGCTGAGGGGAGGAGGAGAGTTGGAGCATGAAGGGTCGGAGGGTCGAGGGTTGGAGGGTCGAGGGTTGGGGGGTCGAGGGTTGGGGGGGGATTATTATGTGGAGGGTTTGAGAGAGTGTGCGTTACGTGGTGGTGGGGGTGTGAGGAGTGGGGGAGGGCCAGCACAGGAGGTGGGCGGCTGTATCGGTGACCGAGGAGGTGAGGATGGTGAGAGTAATGGCGGGCATGCACGAGGGGGGCGAGTAGCAGGAGGGTCAGATGCGGAGAGGGGAGGCACAGGAGGAGAGAGAGGAGAGAGAGGAGAGAGAGGAGAGAGAGGAGAGAAAGGAGAGAGAGGAGAGAGAGGAGAGAAAGGAGAGAGAGGAGAGAGAGGAGGAGAAAGAGGAAGAGCAGGAGGAAGAGGAGTGGAGAGAGGAGGAGGCAAGGAGATTCAGGTAGTTCCAACAGGGGCAGAGGGGGGTTGTGAGTGGAAGCTGAAGGTGGTGTCTGATGCAGGGCAGACTGATGGAGTGCGTGGAGCAGCAGAGGAGGCACAGGATGCACAGGTGGTGCAGCAGCAGCAGCAGCAGCAGCAGCAGCAGCAGCAGGGGGGTCCTCTGGTGGACCAACACATACTTCCTGCTGCAGTTCCTTGCCTCCGCGTGCCAACCGATAGAATACTACCTGTAGCTCCAGCTGTACCTCCCACCATAGCACAACCAGCACCCGCAGCACAAGCAGCAGCAGCAGCAGCAGCAGCAGCATCACCACCACCACCAGCAGCAGAAGCCGCACCAGCAGCACAACTACAAGCACCAGCAGCACCACCGGCAGCAGCAGCAGCAGCTGCAGCAGCGCGAGCCACGAGCAACCCACCTGTACCCCCACTCTCCCTGCTGGCACCGCAACCAGCCTTGAAGCAGGCCCCAAAGCGGCACCCATACTGGCACCAGGTGCGTGCACTGGGAGTAGCGCCAGCAGCAAGGGCGTACCATGGGGCATGTGCCGTGGCAGGGGGTACGGCTGTGCTTGTGTATGGAGGCATGGTGGACCGAACGTCCCCCGTGGGAGGGGAGGCTCGTGGCGGTTATGGTGCTGCGGTTGTGGGCCATAGTGGTGCCAGGCAGAATGCTGCTGCTGCTGGTGCTGCTGGTGCTGCTGCTGCCACTGCTGGTGGTGTAGCAGCTGCTGCTGCTGCTCATTCTCCTGCACGTGCTCCTGCTTCTGCTGCTCCTGCTGCAAGGAGTGGTGGTGTGCAGTTTGACGATTCATTGCATGTGCTGTATGTTGTGCCTCCCTGCGTGCTGCCAACACCCCCGCAAAAGGAATTGGGCTAAGCGGAAACTGGAGATTCTTTTTGCTGTCCTTGTGCGGTCTTTGCTTGGTTCGGTGAGGGAAAGTGCAGAAGGGAGAGAAGGGGGAGAAGCTAGAATCAGTATGGTATGCTGTGTGGATGTAGGGGACGTGTACGGTATGTATGTAGATGTATGCGGTGGTTGTACTAGTGTATATGGTGATCTAGGCTGCTCTAGATTCCTCTGCAAATTGTGCAGGAAACATATAATTGGCTAGGCTTACTGGGTCTGTTAGTATCTGATTTACTCTGCCAAAAAACATCAAGGTTGGGATGAACCATAACAGCGTACGAATAAGTTGGTCAGTGTTATACGAAACTTTGAACGAGTGTAACGGATTTTTTCGTGAAGAGTGAAACTTTGATCGAAGCGAAGCCGCTGTTTGAGCAGATACTGTGGTTGCGATCAGCGGGTCAGCAATGGCGCTTAGTCTCTGGAATTAGTAACTCGCGTCAGTTTCAGCTGTGCCAACAATCACGCCGTTGGTTGCGTCACACACACACATATAAACAGACTCCTCCGTTCGTCCGTCACCGTCACCGTCTCGAAAGAGGAAAACGGCTGAATCGAAACCCGACACTCGAAGGTCACCCCCACCTTTCACCGGCACTACGTAGCGCGCGCGGGTCATGAGCAACCGCGGAGGGGCAGCGCTGTGTAGGGACTTCCAGCGGGGCAGGTACGGGCGGGTAGGCAGGTCGGGTCAGGCAGACAGGTGGGGACAGGGATGGCAGGCACGGGCAGGCAGGGTAGAGAGGCAGTTGGACAACGTCGGCAGGTAGGACCAGTGCAAGGGACACACACACGCAGCAACCGCGGAGGGGCAGCTCTGTGTAGGGACTTCCAGCGGGGCAGGTACGGGCGGGTAGGCCGGTGGGCACAGACAGGGTAGGGTACAGATGCAGTTGGGCAATGGAGCAGGTACGATCGACCAGTGCAAGGGACACACACACGCAGCAACCGCGGAGGGGTAGCGTTGCGTAGGGACTTCCAGCGCGGCAGGAACGGGCGGGTAGGCAGGTCGGGGCAGACAAGTGGGGTGAGTAAGTGTCACGACAATTTCTGTCTCCTCCGCTTCCCTGTGCTTGCTCCCATGTGCTCTCCGTCCTCTGCTTACCCGCACACACCCACCTATCTCTCCCTCTCTCTCCCTCCCCGTCCCTCCCTGTCGCCTCCCGTTCCCCCCTCGCTCCTCCTCGCCCCTCTCGTGGCAGTTGTCGCTTCGGGGCGCGCTGCAGGTTTTCGCACCAGGCCCCCGCTCCCGCGCAGCAGCAGGCACCACGCGTACGCATGCATGCCTGGCGTGGGGTGGGATGGGGTGGGGTGGGGTGAGGTGAGGTGAGGTGGCATAGCATGGGATGGTGTGGATTTGTTCCAGTTCACAGCATGGCATGGCATGGAACAGTGCATGTCGCCCACTCATATTTGCTCCCCCACTTCCCTCTTCCCCTCCCCCTCTCCATCTTCTCCTTCCTCACTTCCCCTCCCCCTCTCCCCCTCTCCATCTTCTCCTCCCCCTCTTCCCTTCCCCCTCTTTCCCTTCCCCTCTTCCCCTCCCTGCCCTCCCCCCTCTCTCCCCCGGGCCCCCCCCCTTTCCCCCTCCATCAGGGGAACCGCTACGCGGAGCCCAGTGGACAGTGGGGCGGGGGGGGCGGATGGGGAGGGGGAGGTGGCAGGGGGCAGGGGGGAGGGGGAGGAAGCGGAGGGGGGCGGGGAGGGCGCGGAGGGGGGGGTGGGGGACGACAAGGAGGGGGCGGGGGGCAGCAGGCTGTGCCGCGAGAGCACAGGTGAGGGGGTATGGCGAGGAGGGACGAGGAGGGTGAGGGGGGAGCATGGTGGTGAAGGAGGGTGGCTGAGATGTGATTTGTTTTGAGATGGGACTCAATTCAATATGCACCTGGATGGTTGAAATGGGATGGGTGGCATGAGGATGTTTGGTTTGCTTGGCCGAGAAGCGTGTGAGTGATGTGTTGTGCTGACATGCTGACATGCTGTCATGCTGACATGCTGACATGCTGTCATGCTGTCATGCTGACATGCTGTCATGCTGTCATGCTGACATGCTGACATGCTGTCATGCTGTCATGCTGTCATGTTTCATGCCATGCCACCATGAACCGGCTCCATGCCCCCATGCCACCGGTTATTCACAGCATGTTTTTGAGAAATCTCCAAAAACTCCCTGCAGCATGCATGCACTTCTACTTGTGCGCTTGTGCACAAGTACGGCAGCATGGCCAGCATCACACCGTGATAAAAGTGTTGTTTTGAGACGTCTCAAAAGTACAGCAGCATGGCCAGCATCACACCGTGATAAAAGTGTTGTTTTGAGACGTCTCAAAAGTACGGCAGCATGGCCAGCATCACACCGTGATAAAAGTGTTGTTTTGAGATGTCTCAAAAGTACGGCAGCATGGCCAGCATCACACTGTGATATAAGTGTTGTTTTGAGACGTCTCAAAAGTATGGCAGCATGGCCAGCATCACACCGTGATAAAAGAGATGTTTTGAGACGTCTCAAAAGTACGGCAGCATGGCCAGCATCACACCTCACTACTGCTACCCATGCACCTTCTGCCCCTCCGTCCGCCCTCCCTGCCCGCCTGGCCTTGCCCCATCCCCGCCCCCACGGCAGCTGCTCGGATCGGCTGGAATGTGAGTCGATCATTGCGGAGGATGCGGTGCGGAAAAAGAGCTCTCGCTGTGGCGCCGTTATCCCCTATTCAGACCCCCCTCCACGCCCCCTTCCCCCTCCACGCCCGCTTCCCCCTCCCTCCCCTCCCCCGTCCCTCCCCTCCCCCCTCACTCCCCCCTCTCTCCCCCCTCCCTCCCCTCCCCCCTCTCTCCCCCCTCCCCTCCCCCCGTCCCCACGGCAGCTGCTCGGCTGGAATGTGAGTCGATCATTGCGGAGGATGCGGTGAGGAGAACGAGCGCCCGCTGTGGCCTCCTGCCCCCATTTTCCATTGCCCTAAATCCTATCCTGCCCTGGTTCCCCCCTCTTCCCCCTCCCTCCTCCTCCCTCTCCTCGCCCTCACGGCAGCTGCTCGGATCGGCTGGACTGTGAGTCGATCGTCGCAGAGGATGCGGAGAATGAACACCCGCTGTGGCGTATTTTGAGGCGCCTCAAAATACGCTTCAATGAGCGCCCGCTGTGGCGCCGTTATTCCCTCTCCAGAACCCCCTCCACGCCCGCTTCCCCCTCCCTTCCTTCACTCCTCTCCTCCCTCTCCTCGTCCTCACGGCAGCTGCTCGGATCGGCTGGACTGTGAGTCGATCATAGCAGAGGATGCGGAGAACGAGCGCCCGCTGTGGCGCCCCTCTGTATACGCGCACTGGAAGTAGTGAGTGCTGCCCGCCCACCTGCCTCTCCTGCCGCTCTTGCCTCTCATTCCGCTCATGCCTCTCATGCCGCTCATGCCTCTCATGCCGCTCATGCCACTCATGCCTCTCATACCGCTCATGCCTCTCTCCACTATCCTGCCCCACATCCATGCCCGCCCATGTCCCATGCCCGCCCCACCGCCTCTTTGATGCAAACACCCTTTCACTGCGTTAAAGCATCCCCAAGCCTCACCGCACGGCATGCAATGGCACAGTCTACCCGGCGATGTGCGCACGTTTGCTTCTTTTTGTCGACTCAACCCCCCTCCGACCCCAACTCCCCTACCCAGGCCCCCCTCACGACTGTGTGTGTGTGTGTGTGTGTGTGTGTGTGTGTGTGTGTGTGAGTGTGTGTGTGAGTGAGTGTGTGTGTGCGTGTGTGTGTGTGTGTTTGTGTGTGTGTGAGTGTGTGTGTGAGTGTGTGTGTGCGTGTGTGTGTGTGAGTGTGTGTGTGTGTGTGTGTGTGTGTGAGTGTGTGTGTGAGTGTGTGTGTGCGTGTGTGTGTGTTTGTTTGTGCGTGTGTGTGTGTGTGTGTGAGTGTGTGTGTGTGTGAGTGTGTGTGTTTGTGTGTGTGTGTGTGTTTGTTTGTGCGTGTGTGTGTGTGTGAGTGTGTGTGTGAGTGTGTGTGTGTGTATGTGTGTGCGTGTGTGTGTGTGCACACTGCACGGCATGCAATGGCACACTCTACCCTGCAACGTGGGCCGGATGTGAGTCCAGAGGAGGCTCGCCTGCTCTATCGTGTCCCCTCAAACAACCTTGTCCCCCCTACCCGCCAACCCTCCTCTGTGTGCGTATGTGTGTGTGTGTGTGTGTGTGTGTGTGGTTTGCCGTGCAATGACAGTCTACCCTGTGACGTGGGGTCGGATGTGAGTCCAGAGGAGGCTCGTCTGCTCGCTTACACACAGGCTGCTCAGGGCGTTCCCCTGCCCTCCATTGTCAGTCTTGCACCGTGCATACCACACCACACCACACCACACCACACCATACCACACCACACCCTGCCATGCTGTTCCATGTGTTGCATGCCTCCTCATTCTGCTATCCAAGTCATACTGCCCTGCCGTGCCATGCCACGCAAACACACAAACACACTTCTCATCAAGCTGAAATCCACTGCCCAGCATTCCTCCCACTTCCTTCCTCACCCACCTCCCTCCGCCCCTCCCCCTTTCTCCCACACCTCCTCTACCTTCCCGCCCCTTTCTTCTTTCCCCTTTCCCCCCGCCCTTCCCAGGTGGCATCGGAGCGTGCCATGCTCGCCAATGCCGAGGCCATCCATGCCGCCTTCCGCTCGCGCCGTTACACCGGGCCAGTCAGACAAAACCCTCCCCTCACCACCCCCACTGGCGGGGCAGCAGCTTCCCCCGTCATTCCCTTCCCCCCACCCGCCGCCTTCCCTGCGCCCTCCCCCGCGTTTTCTGTGCCTCCATCCGCCCCCAGCGCCCCCCTGGGTGCGGGGGGCATGCTGTTTGGGAAGGTAGTGTCGCAACAACCAGCAGCAGCAGCAGCAGCCCCATCACCGTTCGGCCCTACCCCTGCCTCCGCCTTCCCCCCGCCCCAACAACAACAACAACAACAACAACAACAACAGCCGTCGCCGTTTTCCTTTGGCAAATCCCCTTTCTCCAGCGCCCCAGCTCCTTTCTCCAATGCCCCATCTCCATTTTCTAGCGCCCCATCTCCCTTCTCACCCGCACCACCACAGCAGCAGCAGCAACAGCTGATCTTTGGCCAACCCACCACCACCACCACCACCTCCTCTCCCTTCCACCCCGCACCGTCACCCTCCCCATTCGGCCCAACCGCATCACCTTCCCCATTCTCCCCCTTCGGCGCTAGCAGCCCCTCTCCCCTCTCCACCTCCCCCCCCGGCTTCCCTCAGCCTGCTTCAGCGCTGCCCCTTGCTGCTGGTGGTGCTGCTGGCGTGGGGGGTGGTGAGGGTGGGGGCGGGTCCCTGTGGGCTGCAACCAGATGGAAGCTTGGAGAGGTACGTGCAAGCAAGCAGAGCTGTAAGTTTCACATTTGATGAGTGAGTGGCATACTATAGCTGTGATAATCGCAATTGCCCCTTGTGCATCGCTCCTGTCCCGCCTCTCATCATGCCGTTCATCCCTTCCAGCGGCTGCGTGTCAGTGCCATGCTGCATTTGAGTGCCGGCGTGTCAGTGCCATGCTGCATTTTAGTGCCGGCGTGTCAGTGCCATGCTGCATTTGAGAATTCTCAAAGGCACCTGCATGTCAATGCCATGTCTAGTTTTGAGGAGCCTCATAACTAGCCTGCGTGTCAGTGCCATGCTGCATTTGAGTGCCGGCGTGTCAGTGCCATGCTGCATTTGAGTGCCGGCGTGTCAGTGCCATGCTGCATTTGAGTGCCGGCGTGTCAATGCCATGTCCATTGCTCTCCAAGAATCTCTAAACCCCCCCCCCCCCCCCCTCTCCCCATCATATCCGCTTCTCCCATTCCCCTGCAACCGTCCTGCTCTCCTCCACCCGATACCGCTTCCCTCCGTGCAATAATGCTTTTGAGTCGACTCAAATGCAGAGCGTGTTTTTTGAGAATTCTAAAAAAAGCACACTCAAATGCAGATACCAGAAGACGAGCCGCCTCCAGCCGTGCGTGTATGACCCACACCCACCCACACTGACCCACACTCGAGATGCGCCTTGAGTCGACTCAAATCCCATCCCCCCTGCTTTTGTTCTCAAATCCCACCCGATACCGCTTCCCTCCGCACAATGGTGCAGATACCAGAAGACGAGCCGCCTCCTGCTGTGTGTGTATAACCCACACTGAACCACACTCTAACAAGAGGTGCCTTCTTACGGTGATGTGCAGTGCAGCACTAAAAAAATGCAGTGGCCTATGAGGCACCTCAAAAGATGAGCCACCACCAGCTGGGTGTGTCTGACCCACACCCACACTGTAAACAAGAACCGCCATCAGTGCAGGCAGAGTCTGCAGACCTTAAAGGTGCAGTAGCTTTTGAGGCACCTCATACCGTAAGACGAGCCACGTCCGGCTGTTTGTGCGCTAAGACTTGGTTTAGGAGAATAGCGGCTTTTCTCGAGGAAAACAGGCACCCACAGGTGCAGAGCTGGAAGATGACACCAAATCCCAGCAATTATTGCCTTTTGAAGGACTCCTTGCTTGTAGAGAATTATATCCCTATCACTAATTACAATCACCTTGCACATGGCATATGCGCAAGCAATGCAGATATGCGCTCTCCAGGTGTGATATATACGGGTGAGAGAGCGAGGGTAGATAGGCCCTCCTAAGGTCAAACCCCATGTAATGGCACAAACGCAATGAACAATCTCATTGCCTTTCATAATACCAACTTGGATCACACTTACATACAACAATGCTGCTACGTTGCATCTTTCGTTTGCTGATTCTACACTAATAGTCGCTAAACGCGTTTGCCCTGATTAATCCATGTTAAAAGATTGTATAAGATTGTTTACGAAAGGACAGGGAAGAGGCGAGACACGTGGTCCAAGGGAATGGACTCTGTCAATCCCCGCGACGCTGCTTGCGCCTCAATGTTGCTTGGTAGCTCCACCACCTGCTCTCAGTGATACGCATGCACACATCCATGCTCACATGCATGCACACATGCATGCAGCCATCCACACATGCACATATGCACACATGCATACAGCCATGCACACATGCACACATGCATGCAGCCATGCACACATGCACATATGCACACATGCATACAGCCATGCACACATGCACACATGCATGAACACAAGCATTCAGAGATACATTCACACATGCATGCACACATTCATGCACGCGCGTGCAGACACACACACATATGCATGCAGAAGCACACATTCAGTAGTTAAAACCCCAACAGGGCGAACAGAGACAAATGCGGCTGGCAGGACGCAAAGGAGCAATGACTAACGAGCTGCAGCAAGGTCAGAAAAGACGACGGGAAGCAGCAGCAGCAGCAGCGGCCGGGGACGAAGAAGCTGGGGTGGGGTGGGTGGGGCACTGCGCATATCACACAGTGCAGAGCACGCGGAGTATCGCAGTGGGATCTTGACCCGATTAAAAAAAGTTTAGTGTGGGGACCCCACTTTCTCATCTACCCCCCTCTTCCACCCCCCCGGCCACTTTCATTCACCCCCACTCAACCCTCACCCGTTTACCCCCACACACCTGACCGGTCTTCCCTGGCGCCACCATCCAACCACTGGCCTCCACGTGGCGCTGAATGAAGTCGTCCAAGGCCGGCCCGTTCATGTTGATAGCCTGCATGGCTCGGCCCAAGCATGGGGGTTGGGTAGGGAATCCGGAATGGCATCACATCACACGGCATGGTACGAGTCGTGTTTTGAGTCGACTCAAAACAAGGCCGGCCCGTTCAAGTTGATAGCCTCCATGGCTTGGCACAAGCGTGGGGGTTGGGTAGGGTATTTGGAATGGCATCACACGGCATGGCGTGGCATTGTAGCGATGGCCGCATATGGCATGGTAGGGCAGGGCAGGGCAGGGCAGGGAAGGGCAATTAAAGACATGGCACAGCAAGACATGTGATGGCATGGCACAGCATAACACAGCACAGCAATGCTGATATAATGGCACTGGGGGATTGAGAGCAATGAGCGATGCTGCTGCCACAACACAACCAACTACTCATGACAGCACCCCAAACCCATCACTCCAGCAAGTACCGCTGTTCCCCACCCTCGTGCACCGCTCCCCACCCCCGTGCACCGCTGCCCACCTCAGCCAGTATCTCTCTGGGCACGCGGCGGTGCGAGATGGCGAGCACATGAAGGGCATACGCCTGAATGGCTTCCGTGAAGCCTGCAATACACAGAGAGACAGGGGGGTGGGTGGGGCAGACCGCTCTTCAGGCGTGAGATAGGCGATGGTGGGAGGGGGTGATGACGAGCACATGAAGGGCATACGCCTGAATGGCGTCCGTGAAGCCTGCAATACACAGAGAGACGGCAGCGGGTGGGATGGATGGATCCAAGTCAGGCATGACAGATGAGCCTGTTGGGAATATTTGTTTGATGCGCGCCCTCCCTCAAATGCCAAATAGGAAAGGCCGGCAGCGAAACGAGTTTTGAAGGGCCTCCAATGCTCGACTGGTGAGGCTGTGAGTAGGATAGAGACGTGGGGGAATGAAAGGGGTTGGCGCTTTTCGGATAAGGAAATGGGGATGCACTAAGAACAAGAGGCATATGGAAAAACCAGGAGTGATGCAAGCAGCAAGGATGAGGCGAGAGAGAACAGGTGTGTGTATCCGGGCAGGGAGGCTCATCCTTGCTGCTTGCAAGGGAGAAAAGTTCAAGCAAGGCCAAACAAATGTCCCGTTCGTGGTGGAGCGGAGCCTCCCAACAGGCACTCACAGGCACGGCAGGGCAGCCTGCACCTGCATCCTCCATCCACTCAACCACAACCACCACACTGCATCGCTCGAATGGAATCCCCAATCCAAAACCCTGCATGCATAGCCCGGATAACTTTGCTGCGTGATACCACTACCATCACCACCACCCCCAACCGCACCGCACCCCACTCACCAGGCACCGCCCCCAGCAGGTCCCGTTGCTGCTCCACTTCTGACCAGAACTCGCGGAACCGGGCCGTCTGGCGGACAGGCGGGCGGGCGGGCGGGCGGGCGGGCGGGCGGGCGGGCGGGCGGGAAGGGGGAGGAGGGACGCAAACGAGGGGTTGGATGATACGGGGAGAATGTTGAAAGGAAGGAAAAAAAAAGGATACAGCGAGTCGGAACAAAGGGAGCGGGGGGGGGGGGGGGGGGGGGAGTGAGGAGTGGGAGCGACGTGACAAGGGAGAGTTGAGTACAGCCGGAATCTGTAAAGCATGGAGCAACATTCACTTGCTTGAAAGGTGATATTGGCAAACCAAGCAGCAGGAAAGGGGCCGCCGAGGCACGGGGAAAAGGGGAGGGCGGAGGGAGGTTGGAGGAGGAAGGGGAGGGGAAGTAGCAGGGAAAGAGAGTGACACTTGACTTGACACGACGGGCAGCAAGGAGGCAGAGAGGACAAAGCAGAAAGCAGAAAGCACACAGAACACAACGCACAGCGCACCTCAAGGAATTGCGAGAGAGCGATGAGGGTGGAAAGAGGCTCCTCGATTTGCTGCTCAGAACCGCACAGAGAGGAAGGGCGGTGAAAGGGAATGGTTGTTGTGAGCGTAGACGCAGGAGCAGGGATAGGAGTAAAAGCGAGCGAAGATATAGCATGGGATGGGAAGGCATAACATGGCATGGCATGGGAAGACACAACATGGCATGACATGGTCGCATGGGATGGCATGGCATGGCATGGCATGGGCCAAGAAGGCGTTGACCAGTCATTCAGTAAGAGTTTTGGGCGGTCACAAAACTTGGCACAACATGAATGGCATGGCATGACAGGGCAGTGCAGTGGAGAGGGAGGGAGGCACTGACATATCTCTCGGGAATGAGGCAGAGGCAGAGAGTGACGTCCGTGCGAGGCAGAGCCATCATAGCCTGGCGACAATGGCGGGGCCGGAGGAGGGGGAGGAGGGGGAAGAGAGGGGAATTGAGGCTTTACAAAGCTGGTCAAGTGCGTGCGGCAGAGGCGTGCTTGCAGCCGAGGCGTGCGCGCAGCCGAGGCGTGCGCGCAGCCGAGGCGTGACGTACCTTGATGAGAACCCCGCTGATCTTGCGCACGTTCACTCGCGCGGGCTCAAACTGCTCTCAGTCACG